GGGGACAAGGAGAAAAATGATAATAAGTTATTGAGGGAGGACATTACCAAAGCAATATCCAACAATTTATGCACTAATGCAATTATGTCATTCATTATGGCCTTGGGAGATTGGAAAGCCAGCCAAACTTGCATGAGAGAATCTGGTAATAGAAGAACCCGTGACGAAAAGAATGGCCCACAAAAGGGCTATTCTTCGATCCCACTGATCAATATGCCTCTCTGCATGCACAAAGGATAAGAAACTCAATAAATTTATCAGATATTTTATAACAAGAAATAAGAAAGAGCACTACAACTAGATGGGCATCATAACTTGATATGAATCTTTATAATATTCTTGAAAAGGTCATCATTTCATACTTGATATATATCTACCGATCGTGGAAAATTTGGGTCAACTGATCAAAATCTAGATGATATCTAAGTTTTTAATAAAATTTATTAGCTTTATAGTGCAGGTGACAGCTAATCTAGTGTAGTAATTCTACCACTACAAGTTGAAAATTTTTTGGGCAAGTAACCAAAAAATGGAATTAATTAATTAAATTTTGTATTGAGAAATGATAGGAGAAATGTCACACCAATTGATGGTTGACCATCTTACACCCATCGAAGACACGGTTTCTCTAAATCTTGATTCAACAGTTGCCACAAACATGGAGCAAGAAAATTACAACACAACTATATTGCAATATTTTTCTACAATTAAACCAGCAAGAAGTTTCGGCATACGAAGACAAACGGTAGTGCTGTGGCGCCTCCAATTCTCCACACTAGGCATTCTTTAAATGACTGCTTGGCAAGTAAAAAGACTCGGCTTGTGATGGCCTAATTGATGTGATTATTTCTTTCAGATGTCCAATTATAGTTTCTTATATTCAGCATGTCCAATTGGTCTTGTTTAGTTAGCCATCTTTTTATTTGATGTCTTTGTAATTTTGCCCTAAAAAATATGGAATGATTTAATTCTGCATTAATTTGTGTCTATAAGTTTGTGGAGTAGTTCATTTACATAACAGTCAAATCATTCTATCGTGGATTTGGAAACAATTTTTTTTTTTTAACCGAAAGACTTTGTGTTGATTTGAGCAATGCATCGTGTGTCTAGACGGAAAATTTTATCATACAAAAGGAATAGCTAATGACGTATACGAGTAGTTATTCTTTGGGCCATTTTGAGAAGAGAGATAGACACATAAAAAAAGAGAAGTTACATCTATACCTATCAAAAGTGATAAGAAAATTTTCACGTCCGTTCAAATTTCTCTATCTAGATCGCATCCCCAGAGCTTTTTTGGCTTAAAGAAGAATCAATGAAGCATAAATCTCATCTTATCCCAAAAGATAAAAGCAAATGAATCTCACCCAAAAGCCAAATTGATTCAAAAAAAAGAAGAAGATTTGTAGATCAAAAGAAAACACATAGGATTCCAAAAGATTTGTTTAAGAGCAACACTATACAATAACCGTTTTTTTTTTTTTGGTGGGGGGGGGGGGGGGGGTGGGGTGTTGGGGAAGGTCTAATTATAGATGGGTCCTATGTATCTTGCACCACTAAAGGTTATAAGGATATATTTTGCATGGTTGCCGCCCTGAGTTGCCATGTTTAGGCCGCGCATGACATCTAAAGGAAGGGAATATCCCTTAAATTGCACAAAGACGTTAATGGCCAGGACTTCCATTTGAGGAATTTCACAAAAAACACCAGTATAATTGTGTTATGGAGAGGATAGAAATGTCAATCATGCTAAATTTGTTCATGGCTTTAGATTTGGGTTTGGAATAAGAAAAAGTTAAAAGGGGAAGAAATAAAGAAGAAGAGACCTTCCAAATTAAATTCCCCTTTGGTGGGGTTCGCCTTGGGCACTTTCACCATGTACTAGAATGTGAGAGAATAATAATTACAAAAGAAAGAGAGACAGAAAGGGAGAAAAATCCTCAGCAAAATAATGAAAAACGAGAAATAGATTAAGATTCCACAAACTCGATTGTAATGTGAAAAAAAAAAAAAAAAAGAAAGATAGCATAAGGTTTCTTCTACTCATAAGGCTGTAAAGGTTGATTAACTAAATTGCTCTTAAAACTACTTAAATGTTTTTTTTAGAGTAAATATTAATTCGTCATTCTGAAGTTTGAAGGTAGTTTTCAGTGCCTCTTTTGAAATTTTGTTTATATCAATTATTCTTTTGAATATTAATTAAAATTTCAATTTTTTATCTTTATTTATTAAACTAACACAACTAATGATCGATGTGCCATTTTTTATTTTTTAATTGACTTACTAATTTTTTTAAAAAAATATTAATAAAGCACGTCCTTTTTAATTATATTAACTATCTTATTTTTTCAATGAAGACTATTTTTTTAATTATTATTATCTATATTTATCAAATTTATAACTTTTAAGATATAAAAAAAATTGATGAAAATACACAAATTCAAACAATAAATTTTATATATTTTAATCAAAGCATAAGGATCTAATACTAATTTAACATAGTTTTTTGATAAAAAGAAAAGAAATTTAACATAACTTGGTTTAAATTTTTTATATTCTTGTTTTTAAAAAATAAAATAAAATAATAACTCGTGTTAATTGTGTAAAATAAAATTTTTGATATAATAAATTAATAATACTAATGCACCACATATATTCTTGCCAATATCATAATTGAAATTTCCATATTAATCTTTCAAATCATAAACTCAAACTAATAACTAGTGATGTGATATTTCAAAATTGAAATAATACTATTTTTTTCTTTTTCTCAAATTTTGATGAAACAAATTTTATGAATTTTAATATAATTGAAGGATAAATATCCTATCGAAACTTTTTAAATGCTTTAGAAAGTCAATTAAATAAAAAAAATGATATACATTAAATGTAGAATTGAAACTTTGATGAAAATTCGAGATAATTGATACCGATGAAATTTCATAAGATAAATTGAGAAATCTTTCAAATTTTAAGGAAACAAATTAAAATTTATCTCTTTTTTTCTCTTTCTTTTTATGTTGATCTACTCCAAACTTTATATCTTAAAATTCAAGCCCATTTCCTTTTTATCCATCTACAAGTAATTACTTAAGAACCGTTTTAGAATAAACAAAGGTGATAGGATGGGTAGAATTCGAATTTTGAAACGTGATTAGAAAAGTTACCATTCAATGACACATACACTTGTAATTTTGATGCAACGATTGAGCATCTACTAACGTTTTTAAACAAAACAATGTTCAAGTCTCCTCTTTTGTAACGTAATATACATAAATGATTATTTTATTATATATAACCTTGTACCAACAAATCTCTCGACTGAAAAAATTACAATAAAATCATTCAACCCCGAAAAGTAAATTGTGAAGGAAAGTCCAACAATGGTTTTGAATTAAGTTCTCCAATAGCCTTTATTTACTTGCTTAAATTGACCTTTATTTACCATATATTCAACGAATTATACTATCATTCTGTGTAGAGAAAATTATAAATTATTCTTTTTAGTTTTAAGAAATAAATTAATTATTTTTTAAAAAATAATTATTTAGTCCTCCACTATATATATATAGCTCAATAATTATTTTTTTAAACTAAAATTTAATTAATTCGTTTTTCAAATTTAATTAAAAAGATTGATTTATAGCTTACTCTTCTATGCATGTTGATAACTTTTCAAAAACATTTGTCATCTCTAAAAATCAAAACGACATAAAAAAAAATTTGTATAAAAAGGAAATTTTGAAAGAAAAGGAATTTTAAACTAAAATAATTGAGTAAGATTTCATAAAAAGTACTTGATGCATGGTTTAAACAAAATGCGTTGTATAATTAAGCAGATCAGTGAGTCAATCGATAAGCCAATCATATTAGTTGTGGGGTGATAGAAAAGGTTAAGGAGAGAAAACCTAACTATCTATCTCTAGCTGTTTGCATGCCTTTACCATCCTCAAAGCTTTTTAAGCTTCTCATTCTTCTAAGCCTTCTGTAACCCATCCATCCTTTTAATATCATTCCATTCAAATCAAGGTCCTTTTAGGGTTTGGGTGTTTTATAACAGGAACAAAGGAAAAGACAGAAAGTGTCAACGTCATGATTCAAAAGAAAAATTATTAAAGAAATACTTACTTATAAGTAAAGAGAGAGTAAAAAGAAAGAGAAAAACGTTTGAGTGGGTTGGGATTCTTCTTCTTTGGCTTTTGCTTATCTCTCTCCTTTGCACAATATTGCTCTTTCAAAAAAAAAAAAAAAAAGATGTATTTTTTATAGCCATTTTTTTTTAAAGTTCTGGTATTCTCTCTAATTTACCACCCCCATCCTTGGTCTGCCCCTGTAATCATAACCTCCTATAGACCCAGCTACTGATTATTTCTCTTTCAATTATTTTTGCTCTCTTTCCTTTATATAGGCATAAATAGACGGAAAGGAGAGATTTATTGGGTGGGGAAGGGTTTTTAAGGAAAAACAAACTTACTGTCTGTTCTTTCTATGTTTTATTGCATGCTGAGCACTCCTCTCTTATCTAGCTTATTAGTTGATGATTTTTGAGAGTAGAGAGAGAGAGAGAGTAAGAAACAAGTAAAAGAAAGATTGGAAAGAGATATATCTGAATTGTGTAGGCAGATTTGCTCAGAGAAGCAATCCATGGTTAGATAGCGACTTGGAGAATAACCCATCATGATCATCATCTCCTCACGAGATTTTGGTTTTGCTACCCAATGAATGATGCCTTTCTGTGTCTATAATTCACTGACACCTGTTCATCAACCAAGCTTTGTTTAGTTTAGTTGTGTCCAAAGCTGGGGATTCTCTATTTCTGGCCGTAGTCTTACATCTTGTTGTTTCTTCAAGAGTGCAAAAGTGGACACTTGAACACAGGGTACTTCAAAGAAAAGTGGTAGCTAGCAAGAACTACATCAAACAAAACAAAACAAAGTGGTATTATTTCTTGGTTTTTCTTTGTTGGAGTTTTCTTCTTTACAGATATGTTTCCTGCAGCCATGTCCAATTCAACTTCTTTGTCCGAAGAAGCTAGTGTGTCTTCTGGCACAAGAGTTCAAGATTTTGGTAGCTTAAATCCACTGGCTTCAACCATCTCTCCTCTACAGCAGCAGCAACAAAAGATCATCAAGAAGAAGAGAAACTTACCAGGAAACCCAGGTAGGTTTTTCCTTTAAACTCTTCAATCTTGTGTTGGACTATTTTGGACACGCTAACACCATATGTATATGCGTAATGGTTTCTTTATATGTGGTCTTGCAGACCCAGATGCCGAAGTGATAGCATTATCTCCAAAGACCTTATTGGCTACCAATAGATTCGTGTGTGAGATCTGCAACAAAGGGTTTCAGAGAGATCAGAATCTTCAGCTTCATAGGAGGGGTCATAACCTTCCTTGGAAGCTGAAGCAAAGAAGCAGCAAAGAAATTAAAAAGAAAGCTTATGTTTGCCCTGAGCCTACGTGTGTTCACCACCATCCCTCAAGGGCTCTGGGTGACCTTACAGGTATCAAGAAACACTTTTGCAGGAAACATGGAGAGAAGAAATGGAAGTGCGAAAAATGCTCAAAGATCTATGCTGTTCAATCAGATTGGAAGGCTCACTCTAAAACCTGTGGAACAAGAGAGTATAGATGCGATTGTGGAACCCTTTTCTCCAGGTAAATTTTTTTCTTCCTCGTCTTTTCATGTTGGGATTTCAAGTTGAATATATTTTTTGTTCTTTCTACCGTTCTGTTTGTCTCAAAGTCCCAATGTTCCCTTCTTTACTAGTTTCCGAAGTTTTACAGTTATGCACTATTTTGGACTCTATTGGGATTCGTCGAAAATTTTGAACTTTTTTTTAAAGTTGGAAGTCTCATGTCTGCAGGATGGCCTTTGTATTTGTTTCAGTCTGTTGTGTTTTTGCAGTTTGTTTTTGTACAAGAGTGGTAACCTCTGCATGGAATATATCTGGAGCATAAATGCATTGGCATGTATCATAGAAGTGGATACCATTAATACGAGTGTCTTTTACTGGTAACATTACAAGAATAACGGAAAGCAATGCCTCTGAAATCTGAACCTGCCAATTTCAATTTTTGAAAACAACAAACAAGAGACTAATTAAGAAGGAAGGACTAAAAGAACAATCAACTTAAATCTTTTGTTTTATTTATTGTTTTGTCTTTTAATTAAAGACGAGTCAGCTAAGTAAGTCTTTGGTTTTATTCCTGCTTGGGGACTCTGGGTACATTGTCATGATGTCATCCATGTTTTGAAACAAAGTTTGATCAATGCAATAATGCATTTTCATTCGATGGGTTTTACGTGCTTTTTCACCGTGATTACTTCTTTTGGTACTTTACAATGGAGTGACTGCAGTCTCAAAAACAATTATGAATATCTGCTCTTGTCCAAGAAAAAGGTGAAAAGAAAGCTCTCAATTCGATTTTAGGGGTTTTCATGTATGAGTAAAACCCGTGATGATTTCTTTCCCTTGAAGAATGCCATGATTTACTTGCAGAAAATACTGAAACCCTGACCTTTCATCATGACCAAAACTGATAAATCTGCAAAAAAATCTGATATGCCTATTTGCTTTCATTTTCTTTCCTCAGCGTTACAGAGTTTCAGTTGCATATCTTTGTTACATGCATGAGCTCGAGTTTCAAAAGTCTTTCAAGTCATCGTTGTTTACCAATTTCTTGAAATTTTGAGCCTTTTTACCATCCATGACTATTTCTGCATGCATAAAAATCAATCAATTCCCTTGAATTTTCTCTCTCTCTCCACACTTTAGTTTTGACCAAAAAAGATGGTTTTACTTTAGCGTTTGCTGTAGCTTTATGACAATCATGTATATGTCTATCCAATCCCCGCATGCATGGCCTTGTGGTCTCTCGACCTTTGAAGGATGAAGTAAAGCATAGACATTTATTACTACAATCAAATTCACTTTCTAATGCAACATTGCATCCTTATGATCTTCTTCATTTGCCTTTTTCTCTTGATCCCATATCCCAAATTAACTTAAAAGTTTTTCCCTGGTTAAAACACTTCTTTTTTAAAAAATCGAGATGATAAACATTAAATTAACTATTACTAAGTATATATACCCTTTCTTTCTTTTTCTCTATCTGGATCTTTTCTCCTCAACCACTTATCTTCTTTTTTCTTTTTTTCTTTTTTTGGTTACCCTCCTCAAACCACTTATTATTTTCTCTTTGCTCCAAATTTAGAAAATCATGCCATACATGTCTTACAGAATTTTATTTAGTTAAATAAAAGAATGAGGCGTTAATTAAGTTATGAACAGTGGCACTCCTTGGTATTCCTAAATCAAAGAAATGTACACTCAATATATATATATATATTAAAAAAAAAACTTTAGATAAAGTGTCACAAATAGTATTTTCAAACCATAATTAAATGTCATTTCCCATTAATTAGTACTGTGAAATAAGTAGTAGAAAATATCTAAGCTTATTTAATTGACGTCCTTCCATCAATTAATTACCTCCTCTGGTTGGTTAATCATTAATTACTAATCACAAGTTAAACTGAATCTATTAGTTTGGTTTGTGTAGCATTCACTGACGATCTCTTTACGTGCTTGCATTGTTGAAACTACAGGAAGGATAGCTTCATAACCCACAGGGCTTTCTGTGATGCATTAGCCGAAGAAAGTGCAAGAATCTCAGCTCATCACCAGCTAATCTCCGCAAATCCAAATGCCCAAGCTCTCCTCCTTCAAACCCACCCTAGCTCTCTCTTTTCTACCCCTACCCCTACTCATCACCACCAAATCTCCCTCGCTTCTCCTTGGGACCCACCTCACCGTCAGAACCCTAATAGTAATAACCACCAAAACCCAGTTCACATCAAGCCTGAAACTCACAGCCATTTCCAAATCCCGACTTCACTTCTCCAAGAACCACCACAGGCATTGCCTAGCCACAAGGATTTGTTCGCCTCGACCTTCCATAGCCTATCAAATGCTGCCACGTCATCATCAGCGTCGCACCACTTGTCAGCCACTGCACTCCTCCAAAAGGCTGCCAGTGTGGGTGCCACTCAGACATCAGTGGGTCAGAGCCACATGACCCAGCTGGACATGGGCGAGTTGGGATCAGCGGGTCAGGTTCGTGTTGACTCAGTGAGTCACGTCCCCCAGGGTCCTCATTACAACCTCAACAGCCTTGCCACGTGGCAGAAGAGCGACCGCCTGACAAGAGACTTTCTGGGTCTGACTGGTGAATGCGGGGATCATCATGCCCATGCTGCGAGTAATGCAAATGGGAGTAGCGGTGGTGTTAACGTTAGCATGAATATGAGGGAGATTCTAACGTACACAGGAGGTGTGGGGTTCCACCAGCAGCAATACAATGAGAGAGACCACTCACTGCTGAAGCCCCACGGTGGTTTCGGATTCGCTCAGCCTTCTGCCTCTGAAGCGTGGGGTGATTGCTAGAGAGCCCCCAAAAAGCCAAAGGGTAAAATGGTAGTTCCACGTCCTCCCTTCAAAGGACAGAACTGCCCCTCGTCTCCTTGCGACGATAATATGATGGAGGTTTTATGAAGAAATTAAGAACCCTTATCGTGCCATGATCAACCCCATCTTTTATGCAGCTTCATAGCATCAAATTTTTAAATTTTAAATTTCCTTTTTGGGTTATCCCTCGTAATTTTAGAATGCCTACTTTCTCTTTAATGTTAGGTTTAGATGCGGTAATTAAGAAAATGCATGTGCCTTAGTCAGGTGAGGATGGTGGCTGCCTTGTAATTTTGTTGCTGAAAAATGATGTCACATGCAGAATATAAAGATGTGTAGCAATAATGGCTCCATGGAATTTAGTTTTCTTAGCTGCTATTTTTATATATCGTTTTCTTCAGGACATTTCCCATCTTTATATATATATCTAGATCACATGACTACGTACGTATTTGTTTTCCCAATGGAATTGGGGTGGGTTTGATTTTGAGCTAAGAAATTCTTCTTTTTGTTCATTATCCCTTTCATGTTGTTCAAAGAATATACAAAGTGGGCATAAAAACAACTACTCATGGGCCTCCCCGTCCCTATGCTCACAATTATTATCATATTATGAACAAAAGTAAATCTTTTTTGTTCAAATCTTTATGCTCCCTATCCCTTTCATGTTAACTTTAATCATCTAAATATTCAAGTCAATCCCACCACATGAATTCAGGTGGATATACTTTTAAATAACCCCGGATTTGGTGATCTTGATCATGGCCTGAGTGGATCTTCGTATTAATTATGAAGCTAATCGCATTTAGACTTGGAGGAATTGGCAAAATGTATCGAACAACTTGAACTTTGATACTTAATTAATTTTTAAGTTTCATGAATATTAAACATAGAAATTATGTTGAGGGTGATCAGTCAACCTGTTTAATTAAAATGCTTATAGCATGATATCGATGCAGATTTTATAAATAAATTCATCTGGAGGCTTAAGAAGATTTGTAGGTGTTGAGCCATGCAATGAGGAATATTTTTCACTTATTACATTATCTAATAATTAAATAAACTAAAATCATTAGCATTCGAATTTATTTTACTGAAAAAAATTATCGATACACAATTATTAGATTATGTCTATCTGTATTAAATCTTATAATTTTTTTATCACTTACATATATTAGTGATTCATCGTCATTCTTAATTAAGATAAGGAATTTCTTTTCTGCAATTACGAATAACTAATATTGATGATCGCATATCTATATAGGTTCCAGACTTCCAGGTGACTGGAATACGACACTTTGTATATGCAGAGGCGTGGAATTGCGATTACACCATCCGTTTTCAAGGAAATGACCAACGAAAATAATGCATGCATTAAGCTCTAAAAAGGAGGAGATATTTTGGGATATAATTATTAGTATGATGGAATAGCAGTACAGTAGTACTAAAGGGAAGATAAGAAAGTACGAGGCGAGGTAAGCATGCATATATATCGTCGGTGGAGGGCCATACATTGTACCCTTGAAATTGACGAATATTTCCTTTACCCCGACCTAATCGACAGTTACAGCGCAATTTCATTTTCAAGATGTCTCCTTCCAGTTTCTTGCAATAATTCCCCTTATTTATTCAGCAAAAATTAAGTCTTTCCATCCAACATTAGTTATGTTATACTATATATAATATATATATATATTATGGCATTTTCTCGCTCAATAATTGGATTTTTGGCCCATTAAACTTGACGGTTTCTTTGAAAAAAACAAAACCAACTGGCTGCTTTTGCCACCAAGACTTTGTTTGTTTGCAGAAAAGTTTTTTTTTTTTTAAGTGAATTTCATGGGAACTGATTTTTTAAAAAATAAATTATTTTTGATATTTGGGTTTATCCTGAAAAATGAGTTAGAAAAGATTTTTCGGTATATATATTATTAAAGCAACGGAAAATGAGCTAGAAAGGTTACATTTTTTTGAGTTATTAACTTTTAAAAAATAGAAGATTTTTTTAGTTATCAACTTCCTTTTAAGCCTCATTTATTATTTGAAAAAAATATATATGTAAGAAAATAAATGAGTTTATTATATTTAGTTGTGTAAATAATATTAGTTTGATGTACGGTGTACCAAAACATCAAGGTAATTACAATAACCTCCTTGAAGTATTGTAAAATTGTAAATACCATCTAAAATTTTGAATATTTGACAAAAAAACCCTACATGTCTGAGAAAGTATTGCATAAATTTTTATTTGTATCCAAAATACCTTTAATTACTATCTAAAAATGATAGTTAATTAAGAACTTAAAAAAATGAGAGAAAATATATAAGAAAATGGGACTTGATTATTTTTAGTATACAAATAATATTAGTTTCACTATTTACTTTTATTTTGTGTTTCTTTCTTAATATTCGTAATTTAACTGTTTTTTTTAATGGTTATTAAGGATTATATATATATATATAATAGGGGTTTTTATCAAATCAATTCGAACGTCTGGATGGTTCCTGTATTTTTTTATACTTTAGTAGGGTTGTTGTAATTTTTCCAAAAAGCAATTACATAATTAAAGTTAACATATAACATACAAAATGAAAACTGTTTTTCCAAAACTCAAGTGAAGTATTTAAATATTTAGTACAGAATGAAAAAATACAAAACAAAGAATTTTTATTACACAAAACTGATTAAAAATGAATTTCAAAATAGTTTAAAACAGTAATATATAAATATAAATAATAATTTTAAACACGAAATATGGAAATTTTTCTTCTAAATTTAAGAGAGGAAAACATTTTTCCCTCTCAAGATTTTTTTTTTTAACTAAAAAATATTTTTAATTGATTTTTTTTTTTTAAGATGTCACCTAACACTGAAAAGTGTAGAAAGAATTTTCTAAAAACCATTTTATGATAAACAAATAACGCTCAAAATTTGCTGAAATGTTATCGTTCCTGTTGAGATCTAATCCAATGGAATAAAAACAACAGCAGCATATGAAGCCAACTGCCTCGGCAAGATTTTTAGTATTAAGGATGGTGTTATTTTTAGGAAAGGATATAGAATTTTTTTTATTGTACAAATAGAAAAGATGGTTTCAAGGTGTTAATATGAGGTTATTATTCATATAAAATTTTTAGATACGTAGATTGATTTCTATTTGAACATGAGCTTTCACGACATATTTAATTCAATTTAAATAATTAAAGGTTAGATACAATTGGTATATCATTTGCAAATGTCGATTAAATTTTTTTTCTTATGTATTTCTATTCAACGTTGAAAATAGGATCAATTTTATTCAGAACAAAAGTAATAAAATTTAACTCATTATAATAAATATGATTCTAAAATTCAAACTTTGCACGTTAATAAAAATTTCATATAAGAACCAATTAGTTTAGCATTGAATCGATAATTTATTAATATTATTGATATGTCCATTAGATCTTGACTCATATGATAAAATAAACATTTTATAATACATAGCAGAAAATTTTATGATATTAAAAAATAATTATCAATATTTACTCGGTCAAAACAATTTCTCAAATTAGATATTGCAATTATGGTATGTGCTGCTTTTCGTATCTAGCAAAATTTAATCAGGGACAATTGCCCCACTTTTCCTTGTGACCGCTTCGCCGAAAAGTTCACCTATGAACTTCTTTAGCATGCATGTAATAAAATGGCACTGTTCAGCTTTGTCCAAATGACCCAGTTGATTTAAGAATAAGAATTTCAGATTCGACAGCTAACCCAAAAAGGGACCTAAAGTCTTCTTCGCTAAGACCAGTTCTGGCTCAATCGATCAGAACCTATGTTTGCGACTAATATTGGAAAATCTAGACTAGCAGTCTTTTTTTCACATTAAAAAGAGAGAGAAATTGAAGTCTTTGTCCAGGTAACATCATATTTTTTGGGATAAAAAAAAATGCAACCCCGTAGGAGTAGGGGATTCAATAATGTTTTTGAACGTCATTTATGATTTACCAGTTTTCTTTTGCTTCCATAAAATATGCTAAAATGGGAATCCTTTAACCTTGATAAGACCGTAGGATAAACAGGAGCGGCAAGGGTAGCCACTTTAGAAATTTCTGGCAATTCACTCCTTTTTTTACTCACTTAAATCAAATTCTATCGAGGATTCGAGAGATGCAAGCAATTTCCAAGAATTTCTTTTTTCGTCAATCATCACTTTATGGGACTAGGGATTATATATATATATATAAAATGTAGCCTTTTCTAAAAGAGGTATAGATGACTGTAAACCTGTTATAAGCGTGAGTAAAAAGGCTACTAAGTTGATGCTGTATGTGTATTTGTGCAAGTGTGGTGGTGGTCCGGGACATAGTGGTACTAAACCAAAAGAAAAAAGAGAAAAGAGAAAATGAAAGAGAAAAAATGTCAACGGTTATGAAAAAGATGCTCATTACAACTTTGAAACTTTGAATTACAATTCTTTCCTTGATAATCTCCCTACCTCCTTTTTTCCCTACCACCCTTTATCAATTTTTGTGCACATCCCCATATTATAGCCCATGGTTGGCAGCTTAACCAACATCATTAACATTCCAATGATTTTTCTCTACTTTGTTTCCATGACCCACTAATTGATCTCCTTCTTGACCATCCGAATAAATCAGATTAAACAAATTAAAATGACATGTTAATAGGCCAGTCCCCATCCGAAAATAGTAAAAATTGCATGTCAATCAACATCTTTGCAATCCAAGGACGATCCACATTTACATAATGATTGGAAGAATCACGTACAAACTGATTTACATTATATTCAATCAAGCGGTTTAATTAGTATGATACCAGGAATAACACAATGCATGAATGGCTTGTTTACCCCCAAAAGAAAGTGCATTGATGATTTGCAGGTTACAGGTAAATATCCTCAGGTTCAACTTCCAACTTTGTATATTCACTGAGAGAATGGGCAAATTCTTGTTACCATAACTTTGTATATTCACTAGGAAGAGAGGGAGGATACCTAGGGATTAATAAAAAAAGGAGAAGTTGTGGGCGTTACATGGTATATCCAAGCTTTTAGAAAGTATATATGTAAGTTGCAGGGTTAAGGTACAATACATGCCATTTGCCTACTAAAAAAGACTGCATCTTTTTTTATATCCCTCTGCTGCACAACCAGACAAACCAAAAGTTTCTCTTCCATTACCTCTTTCCCCTTTTCCTCTCTCAACATCCTTGCATATGTCATCTTCCATCAGGGAATCTCATCTTAACAAACCCTCCTTTTTCCTCTTCTCTTCCTTCCAGTCATAATAATTACCAAAGCCTTCTTTTCTATGCTTTTTTCTCTTTGCTCCTCCTGCTGCAAATCCCCAGGCAGCACACTCTTTTCCACACTACCACCGGTAATAAACTAAGAAAACATAAACGAAATTTACACCTCAATGTAACCGCATTACTTTAATCTCCTCATAAATTTAGACAGGATTTCAGCAATGCGTTCGTAATAAAGAAATGACAAAAAGTGAGAAAACCAGACTAGCATCATATGTTGCAACTATATGGTTACGTTAGCTTTTCTGCTGGTTTATGTTAACTGTAGAGATGGTAGTTGGCTGGATTAACCATACATACTGTCGGATTATTGTCCACATATATACCATTCTATCCAGTTTTGCTCTGATTGAAACATGAAAGCCATTACTTAGAGAAGATATTGCTATCAAGGCGACAGATATCAGCATCTGTCCTTAATCTGCTAGAATAGCTTAAGCGGTCTTTACAGAAACATTTAAGACAGGACATGAAGTTTCATAATTCAGACTGAAAAAAAATTATCTATTGAATTAACATCATTAGAGTCAAATTACTTGGGATGGTCTGGCATATTGAAAGCTGTGACATATACAGCACTATTCAAAGTTAGCAATCATTTATATTTCTACAGTATGGATGACTCACATGTAAAAGTATCGATTATGACAGAAAGCTTCTTCTATGGAAATGCTTTGTTTGACTCTTTTAATATTGCAGGTGGGACCAATTCTTTCATGAAGTTGCATCGCTGCATGGCTTATCTAATTGATGGTTTTGGAACGTCAAAGTTTACTCCCAAGTATTTATCCAGAGAATTTTTGAATGCCTGCAAGAAGAAAATAAAATGTCAAATTTAGATCCAAAGTACTTATCAATCCAATGAATCCAAGTTGCTCGAGATAATCTTCATCTTTAACAATCAGTTCCGTTTCAGCAGAACAGGAAACTTACAGAATGTACTAATTTATCTATAGGTGTGCTTGCAAGACTTTATTGTCACTTGCAACAAATCAAAGGTAAAGATGATTATGCTGCTGAACCAATGCATATAAAAGTTCATATAGATGAAGATAGGAAAATGCAAAGAACCAAAAAGAAAACAAAGGCCATGAATAACTTTAAAAAGACTGCTCATTTGGGAAAAAATCGATGTGGTCAAAGTTGAACTGGATCAGAAAACTATAATGAGACTAGAATCTAAATCGAGTTGGGTTCAGCCAGTACAGCTTTTAATTCGAAAAAGAACACAATTCCAAACCCAGAGTATCTAAACTGTGAAGGTAATGATCATGCATGGCAATATTAACGTGGCACAGCACTAGCTCACCATGCAAACTTTTACTGAGAAGAACTTGAGAGTGCCTTTTTTCACCGATACCAATGAATGGGTAAGAAACATGGACTTCAGGCCTCATTGCCAACTCTCTTTTTTATAAAATCTAAATAGGATCCTTACTAAATGAAAAAAAAAAAAAAAAAAACAACAACAAAAACAAAAGAAAACTGTTTTGATATCAACCTACTAACATATTTGTGCCACGTGAATTGAAATCATAAATATATGTGATAAAATATACTGCAAGGCATTTCCTAAAGAAAATAACCTTACCTGGAGAGCGAACAATTCCTTCCCATTAAGAATCGCATCCATTGCAGCAAATTGGTCATCAAATGCACCATAAAAGTCTTGGTAGAATTTGTTCCTGTAATAAAAAATGATAGATAGTCCAGTACATACAAAGATTAAAGGTGTTTTCTTCTTTCCTTTTAAGAATTAAAAAGAACTAGTCTTCATGAATTTAACAAATACCGATTCTCTTCAGTTGTCTGTTGATCAATCTCATCAAACTTCTGTGTGAGTACCTCTGCTCCCACCGGTGAAAGCAAGTGCAGTATCAGAGCCTCCAAGGTTCTTGGAAAATTGTGCTGGAAAGAGTGATTACAACATGAATAAATATTGAAGAAAAAAGGTGGAACGGTGTCTAATCTATGTATCATTGGAGCTTATGCTGGTGATAGCTGGGTATTTCCAACACCGTTAACAAAAATTCCATCCACCTATTGGAGCTTAATAAAAGGGTGCATACTCACCGCCATGGCAAGAAGGACATTCTGAAGAGTTCTTGGATCAAGGGTCCAAAGAATTTTAGCAACTGGATCATCCTCTAGGAAAAATATATTAGTTGTCAAAGTTTTATCACATTCATCTTTCACGCTAACATTAGAATCATTTGGTGGAGTTGATTGTATGTGTTGACTTTGGTCGGTGATGTTAACATGGTCATGAACTAAAGAAACAAGTTCATGAAGAGCCTGGAGAGAGCATGGTTCCAATTCATGCAAGTTAACTCTATGCCGTTGGTCCTTCCCTTGTAAACCCTGTTTCTTGCATGCAGGTTTCAAGTCACAACAACCATGATCTGGTAAAAAATTATCACGATCAGTCTCCAGAAAGACACAGGAAATAAGCTGGGAATTCCTTCAAGTAAAACTGAAACACGGGAGAAAACCAAGTGATATAATCATCACAACTGACCTCCTTTGTTACCGAGAAGCTCACATTTATGGCTCTTCAGTTTCTCTGAGCCAGGAGAAGAAGCCTTAGAGAGTGCTTGCTTCTGTCCTAATTTCAGATATTATATACATGTTGAAATGTTTGACTATAAAATTGGAACTCAAAAGAAGAGACAAGGAAAAGAAACAGTACAGTAGACTCCCCAAACTTACTGGACGAAACAAACATAGAAAATTTCATTAACGTGTACTCTTTAGTAAACAGACTCTGCACATGATATTAGTTTGGGCATCCATTATCATAAATTACTGAAAAACTTAAGTGGAAACTTGAGATTTCAAAGTTTCTTAGTCTACAAGCAATGACAAACTTTCTGAAAGCCTCGAAAAAGTATCAAAATATAATATAATTAAATTATTCACAATTTTATCTGTTAGTGACCCTCGAGCTTTTTGAAACTCTGATAGAAAGAGCTCTTCAACTAATAATTTGTAGAAATGCTTTTGTTTCTCCACTGCAGATGTTTTTTATGCTACACAAGTGTAGCTGAAGAACAATGCTGCGAACCCGAGGAAGTCTCACAAAAAGAATCATACATAGGAAAAGAATAGATGCAAATCTGATGCACACAAGTTAACAGAATAAACTTTTTGCAGTGCCCAAAAAACAAGAAAAAAAGATCTCAATGGGAAGAAGCACTATTGAGACATCTGACATATCAAGGCGATGGACATACCATTTCTTTGTCCGCCAATCTTGAATTTATAGGATTGATTTGATGAGCCAATGAAACGCGTTACAGAAAACAAAATCACTAAATCAAGTTAGCTTAAAGTGTGTTACCAACACCAAACTGAAATTTTATAAGACATAATGACTCAAGAGTACCTTCTTAATATTCTTCGCAAATAATAAGCATCCATGTGCTCTAACATGTTAGACATTATGTTGGACTGCCACCAAAAGTTCACAGCAATTGTCAAATCATCACTATCTACTTGGTGGAACCTGTAGCAATTGGAGACAACAGTCATCTCACTGACTAAATACTAAAAGTGGGGTAGAGTTGAAGAAATAAGTCTAATGTCTTAATGATGGTGCAATAAATTGTGCATAAATAAAGATGTGTAGAATCAGTGAGCCATTTCAGTAAAGAGTACCAACACAGAAAAATAGAAACAGTTGGATCTGGAAAAGAAGTTTGCAGCATTAGAGAGTGACATTATTTATTCTTTGCCGACCTATTACATCACTAAAAAAGTGAAACCATGGTAAGAGGAGGGACTAGTTGATGGAACAAGCATAAAAGCCATGACAATGTCAGTCATTGGGTAATTTAAAAAGAAAGACTCCTGAAATAAATTATTGCATGCACACAGGGACAACTGTTTTGGAGATAGCAAGAAGTACAATGCTGCAACCAAAAGGCTCTAAGGTAGAGAAAAGATTAAACAATTTTGAAACTAAAATGGAGAATTGACCTGAAGGCGTGAAAATATACATGAAGGAGACTCCACTATACTAGTTAGAATTAACGCCCCTCCGTTCTCAACAAGCATGCATAAACCCCACTTCACATTTGCTGTTGAAAAATAAATAGCCTCTATTGGTCTAATTCTATGCAATGACACACGCATATCAGACACGATGAAGAACCAATTTTTCTAGTGGCGGAGGATTAAAATTTGGAATTAAATCAATTTCACATTTTGGAAGTCTTTCCTAGATAATATTAAGTCATTTTTTTAAAAGGTTCTTAAGGATTAGAAAGCTGTTGGTTTCGTGTTAGGTTTTCACTTCCTATGCTTTGAAAGTCTTACGTTGTTTCAGTTAATTTTAGTTATGGGTCATTTTCTTTATGTCGACGCCAGGTCTCAATTCCTACGAGTGTTTACATAATTCAACGCCAAACCAACAGCCTCCAAAACTCTATCTTTTATGCTTTCCACCCCAAACTCAACCATAAATCCTAATTCCCATTCTCCAGCATAAGAACTCATCAACCTCTCCAGTCGATGCTACCGCCTTTTGTGATGACCAAGCAATATGATTTACCGATACATCCATGATACAACATCGAACAAAAGGCATGAAAAAAAGTAAAATCACATCGCAGATTTCTTGTAATTTGTTATGGAAATAGAACAAAAGCTCAATACCGAACTTAAATAAAAGCTAAGCACAATATCAGAAGCTTAGCATTATATTCTCGAATTACAGGAAGAAGGTTCCTAATAAAGGGAATTTTCTCAATAGCATCATTATGTTTTAAGTCTTACCAGCCTTCAGGAATGAAAAGTGCATCACCTGCATGAAGAATAACCTTCTGAGAGTAATCCATTGAGCATTTTGCTCTCGGATACAATGAGAAGTCAGGGTTTTCCAGAGCAATGGAACTGCCAGCCAGAAGAAAAAAGATTAATAATTAACAAAGGATAATTATAAAAGCAAGGCAATTCCAAATTTCTAGTGGCCAAACAAACCTTACAAGCATTACAGTTTCCTAATCTTATGAAATGGAGAGGGAGAGGGAGCAGAAATTAATTTCCCATTACTTGCAAAAAACTGGCATACCTGTGGTTTGAGGCCTCTCCGTACACAGGCATTGGGTATAAAAATGGACTTGCAGAAGGGGGCCATAAGACAACTGCAAGAAAGAAATATTTCAAAAAAATTGAAAAAAGCAAAAGAAGCAAGTTCTAACATATGAATAAATTGCTTAAGGGAACTGTCTAAACCAAAAGTTCCGCAGGCAACAGTTCAAACTACAAGCATGACACGTAACTAAGTTTATAGGAAGAAAGCATTTGCATGCAAGAATGGCGAAGAATTTTGTAGCTTCTTCACAAATAATCGAATGCCAACAAGGGTTATTAGCATTGACATGAATCTATAACTTGCAGCTAAAGAGAGAGTTGCTATAGTTGTACGATGAACAAGAAGAAGGAGAGAAAGAAAACAACTGAACCTTGTTTGCTGCCAGCAACTATGCATAGCAAGTTATGATGAGGATCATAGTGGGTGCTTGATCTAGATTGAGCATTATTCATCCACAAATTGACAGAAGCTAGTTCCTTTGTCTCCAAAAAAGTAGGCTGCAAAAATCAATCAAGAGTAAACAAATAGTTAACAATGGAGAGCAGTTTACTAAAGAAAACTGAGTGACGAAAAAAATGCACAAACTGTTTGAATGTCTTCCCTAAGACCTTCGAGTTGAGCCCTCTCTCGATCCTCGGTATTCAATATTGGCACCTGAACAAAGACAGTTAAATTCAAACTTAATTTAAACTTTTACCCTGGTACTAACTCAATATCACACGGTGTCAAAATCAAAACAACATTCAATCTCTAGAAACCGCAAAGTTCAAACAATAACATTCAATCTCTAGAAACCGCAAAGTTCGAACCTGTGCTAAATAAATTTGTTGAGGAGTATCACCGGAAAGCAAACTATCCAGCTCTACATCAGTAACAGTTTGCAATGAAGAGCCACTACTGTTATCCCTGTTTCGCATTCTTTGCTTGCAATATTCAATAAAGGTAGAAAACGGTAATTGAACCTACGACAGGAAAAAAGTACACTGATAAGAGGACGCATTTCAAAGCTCCATTAATAACTAACACTCAAATCAGAAATTGGCAGAAAAATTACCCTTTCATGGCTTCTAATATCACCATAAAATACAGGTGCAGTTCTGGATAGCATAGCTTCCACGGTAGATGATCCTACCCGTTCCTAGATTTCAATTAATTAACATAAAAATTAATCACAGGTTCAGTTCCTACATAAAAAATATATAAAATAATTCTCAAATATTAAAGAATAAAAGTAACCTGCAAGTAATCGAGGCCGCCATTAGCCGGATTCCACTTGACGAAAGCCTGCCACTCCTTAATGCATCCATTGAAAACCTTTCAAGGAGAAATAAAATAATCATTAGCATGGAATTATTGACAGAAAGCTTTAAACAACAAGAGAGAATTCAATTGAATTACAGCGGGGACGTTTTTGGATTCAATTTGAGACGCGAATTCTGTGGGAGAAGGAAGCTGTTCCAATCTTTGAATTTGCAATATTGAACACCCTTGCATGTTATTTCTAATTTTTTAATAGTTTGCAGCGGCAATGAGAAGGCGGAGGAGTAAGGAGAGCGAGTTCGAACTTCCAAGACGTTGAGTCGCCGAGTTTAGCACCGGGAGAGGAAGCGTGTCATTTACCACTGGTGTGGAAAGAAGGTGGTAATTTGGTAAAGGTGCCAAGGTTGATTGTGTAATTTCAAGTTCTCATCGTTTCAACTTTCAATAATTCAAAGTGTTTATGAGCGAACACTGGCCTAAATTAGTGGGCATTTGGATGCCGGGCCTCTGATTTCTAAGCCTTGTATCTGTGGCCTCAACCTGTGTTTATGTTCGATCCAGCTTGTTTTCACAGTTTTTGCTTGTTCTGGGTCCTAAAAGACTAAGAGTACGCTTTGGAGCATTAATTTCATCAGCCCAATTTTGCAATTAATATTCAGCTTTTTCTGTGCCGAACCAACTACCCAAAATAAAGGGGTCCATTAAATTTCAATCCTATTTCGGATTTTCGATAGGCGTGTCATACCAAATCTCTGCTAAAAATAAATCCATCTTTTCAAAGTTGTGCCTCTTTACTGTTACATTTTGGTTGAGTTCAATCCATCAGATTTTTTAATAGAAAATGATCGTTCGTAACAAACTTTTCAACTACTACTCTGCTATTCTCTCTGATGCACCAGGAATATGGGGCCATTCCCAAGGGCACTTTTTATCTTTTTTCATGGCAGGATTAAATAGTATTGAAAGTAAATTATAAACTAGTCCCTCTTGTTTAAAGAAATTAATTGATTAGTTCCATTATTTGAAAATCTAATTATTTAGTCTTTTGCATTTTGATTTCATCAATAACTTAGTTATTTTATGGATTTTCTATTAAATGTGTTTTTGTTTTTAAATTGCCCTTGTTTTAATTTTTGATTGAGTAGAGTGAAAAAAATAAGTGAAGGAGAGAAATAAGGCAATTTGAGAAAAAAATTATTGATCTAACAAAAAATTAATAAAATTACTAAGTTAATGATTAAATTAAAACATGAATAATAAAATTATTATTTAAAAAATAATAATTTATTTATTTTTCAAAACAAGAAGTAATTTAGTCGTAGCATTGGGTTCTATAAAGAATAGCTTTTTCATTACATTACAATCGAAAACCCATGATTATTAAAACTCGAAATTGATTCGGTAACAAACATTATCATGTATATAAATACTAGTTTGAACTTGTGTAAGTTTCTTATTCTTGAGATGCTTGATGCTTGATAACGAAAACTCAGAAGATACCTAACTAACAAATATCACCATGAATTTATAACTCATTAACTTACCTAAGGTTAAAAGGATTAGGTTTCAGGAGAGTTAAAGATTTTACAATAAATTTTATGTTATTGATTAACAATATTTATTTCACAAGAGGAAAAAAAAATTATCACGTGATAAAAATATTTCTGTCTAATTTTACTTTTTTTAAAAATTTGGTCTCAATCCATCAAAAGTCTTAAGAGTTTTTTCATCCAGACTCAATTTTTTATAAAAAAAATCTCTATTTTATTGTTATTTTTTCTTTACATCTATCTCTTTTTTAAATTTGATATATAGAATAAATATTGATAATTATTTGTTTAATATTTTCAAAATTTATCACGTTTTATTTTAATTTTAAGGATCAAGCTAGTCTGGATCTAAGCAAAACATCATAAATAGCATTTATGAAATTTCAACGTAGGAGTAAAAAGTTGCAGCGAGCAAAAGGTATTACCATTTATCTTTAAAACTAAAAACTTAGACCATGAAATAATGGAAATGGTTGATAGTATCGTCTAATAAATAATAAGAGATAAGCTTGGCACGTTGGAATGAATAAAACAGTAGGAAAATTCAAACAAGAAATTTTTCTTTTTCTCTTTGGTTACAAGTTTCGATTTGAATCGCTCATGCCACCGCTAAAATGCATAAACTAATCAAATATGAGGAAATGATGATGACGGGGAAATCTTGAATTCAAACGAGGGAAAAAAAAAAAAAAGGGCTCGGACGCCTTTTCCTTTTGGTTAGTCCGCAACTCTCGCGCGCTTTCATGTTCGAATAATCAAACAATGGGGACCACTTGTACGCGGTTTCCCATGATCCCATCTGGGGTTCTGTGGGCCTCGCTCGTTTGTTATTATTATTACTATTTTTTTCCCTTCTTCCGGATGCGTACGTACGAAACAAGATAGATACGTAGATAACATACTATAATCTATTGAGCATGTAACGGACATAAATACGTAACAATTTATTGTGCCCATTTGCAGAATATTTTGTGATAAAAATTATGAAATTGAACGGGCTTGAGATGAAACTGATAAGGATTTTTTTATGCTGTTTCCCCTGTTTTTATCACACTCAACATCGAACAATTTGGAATAAGCTACAAAAATGAAAACAAACAGTTTTATCGGCATAAATTCAAATATCAAATAGGTTATATTGCTCTGACAACAGATTCTAGATTGGTCATGTTTGCTCAACACACCACCCATTTCAATAATACGTGCTTAGAAAAATTTTATGGGGATCCTAAATATATAATATAAAAAAATGTTGAATCTAGCCCGTTAAACATTTAAATGTAAAAAAAAAAATTATATCGACAAAATGGTTAGAAAATCCGATTTGTTGATTTCTTTTCTTTTATTATCATAATTAAAAATACATTCTCCTACAAATATAACTTCTATTTTTGTGTTATCACATGATTAGTGGATTTTTTAATTAAATACGCATTGATAAACTATTTAGTATAGAAACTCGCTAGCTTATAGATTTGAAATTTGTACCTTAATTCCTTTAGAAAAAACAATAGTTCGAATTTTAATAGAGTAAATTATAAACTAGTAGTTTCAAGAAATAAATTAATTAATTCTTATTGTTTTAAAAAATATTATTTAATTTTTAATCAATGTTAATTATACTTAATTTAATATGATTTTTATTCCATAAATTTTCTTATTTTTTTATCGATCTTTCCATATATATTTTTTGTTTTTTAAGATAAAAAATCAAAATAAATAAATAAAATAGCAAAAAGGACTAAGTTATAAATAGATTTCAAAACATAAGGACTAAATAATTAATTTTTAAAATAAAAAAATTAATTCATTCATTTCTAAAAAAGGAGGGATTAATTTATAATTTACTCTGTTTTAATATGCATACAATTCGTGTACAACGGGGCAAAAAAACAAAAAAATTAAAGAGCCTGCTAGGTCCTAGCAGTGGTCTACGTATAACTCTGTGTATGGTTTAATTTTTTACCATAATTTTTTGGGAATAAAATAATTACAGGCGTGCTGTTCTTGTTTCCAATACATTGATTAGAAAATAATGAAGAATGATGTGAAATATTAACAATTTCATTGGCTGCGACTAAATGCATAACGGTGATTGCATCAACCACAAGTACGTACTCTATACATGGAGTCAATGAGAATCTGATAGTAAAACCATTCGATACCGAGTTTGGATGTCTTTCTTTAATTAAATGTATTAAATTGAAGCTAGATAATTTTCCATGGTTTTGATACGAGAATTTCAAAATCATATAAAAAAATCTAAAAATATTAAATTTGTGTTTATTTAGAGAAAAAATAGTTTTAACTGCACTGTTTAAACCCACTGATTCACAAAAGTAGATTCTAAAATAATTAATTTAAAAGAAATTTTAAAATACTTAAAAAAATAATAATAATATTTATTCTATAGATTCATTTTAAGAGTGAGAAAAATATGAATATCAAAAAGAGAAAAAAACATATAAATTCACAAAAACAATAAGAGACTGAGACAAAAATAAAGGAAAAATCATATCTAAATTTATAAAAAATGATAAAAATATTTTTACGTAATTTTATTTACTTGTAATTATCTTTTGTTATAAAATAAGTATTATTAATTATTTCTTAAACCACATAAAATTTTTCATTACATGAGTTGCACTGCTACTTGATTTTAGTTGTGGATATTCATCAATCATTTTAAAGAAATTAATAGATTGATGCATCATTAAAAGATGTGATTATTTTGATTTAGCTAGAATTAAAATTTAATTTTTATCATTCATAAATAATTAATTATAATTATTTTTAATGGGATCGATCCTTGATTTATTTTATTTGGTCTAAAAATTAGCCCAAAGATCAACTAAAAACCGAGAGTTCGTTGACATTGTTTTAACTCAAAAAATGGTGGAATCGGGCTCAGCTGATATGAAAGATGGCCCGAATATATATATATATATATATGAGATGCTGGTGCAAGATATTTTTTATTTTTTACCAATTAAGGTTCGATAAAGCTTTAGATGATACAGCGGGACCCCTTCAAATTAAAATCTGCACTGTCTAGTCCTGTGTATTTTAAAACGAGAAGGCCGTGATAATGTGGTGCACATGATAACGATGAAATTGCCACTGTCAACTCACCGAATTAAACAAGCTGGGAGAAGTACACAGAAACAAACATGTCTAATAAAAAAAAAAAAAAAAAGAGGAAAGGTTAATGAATCATGGATCTATGGAGCTTACACTCCACGCTTATCTAAACGCGTGTGGAAAGAGGTGGAAACGCACCTAAAGTGGAAAGGAAGTAGGCAATTAAAATACGATGATGCTACGACAAAATCACGAGACTGGAGGGAGATTAGAATTCAGAATTCACGCGGAGAGGTGAAGCCAAAATCACTCGACATATATAATCTGACATAATAGCCTAATAAATGCGTATATTTGGAGAATTTCCGTAACGGAATGTTTCATTTTATTCTCAAATTTATAACAATTAAATAAAATTTTAAGAGATATATGTATAACATAAAGATATCGATTTTAAACCATAAAATAACAATTATGATATGAATATTGAGCAATAATTTTAACCATGAGATGACATTTATGATATAGATATTGAGTATTGGTGTGACACTAATATATAAAAATAATTTTAAAGGAAAATTTTTCTTTATATCGTTTTTACTTTTTCAAAAAATATATAATAAATAATAATAAAAAGAACAGAGAGAAATTTCCTTTCAATGTTGTAATCTATGTTATTAGTGCCACATCATCATTTGATATCTATATTTATGTTATAGTTGCCATCTCGTTACTTGAATGATATATCATCAGTATTTTTATGTCACATATACTATATTTTTTAAATTTTATTAGTATAATTTTGAGAATATATACATCTTCCATTTAAAAAAATAAAATTCTAAACACTCAATTGTAACGATTTTCAAAATACACATACTTGTTGTGTTATCATCTTTGTATAATTTCATTAGCTCTAGGCTCTTTGTTTTAAATTTTCAATTTGAATGACATGCGAGGATTTGTTAATGTTATGTAGAGATTAGACCGACCAATTTTCTTGCAAACAGAACCCAAAACACTCCACCGTGCAGTCAGCAGATAAAAAGACAAGAACGAACGATACAAAAGCATCAGCTTTCCATTTGGAAACGCGAAGCCCTTGGACTTCTAGCACGGCAGCAGTTTTAAAGTCATGACCACAGTTTTTTTCTTTTTTCTGTTTCCCCTCGGGTGAGGCAGGTAACCTTAGCGATTATTCTTCTGTAGGAAAAATAAGCAAATTAGAAGTTTAAACCGGAAATGCAAATGGCAAATCCCAATTGCCAAGTGCCAACCAACCGTGTAAATAGTAATGTAATTCTTTTCTAGTGTTTTTACTGATCGAACCGAGATTTCCGTGTTCTATAATCACGGTGGTTGAATAATTTCAGGACTGTATTTTTTTTGAGGCCACCCTTGAGTCTGGTTTGGTTTAGCGAAAACTTGGCATTATAACACAAGCAAGTTAAAGCTTAAACAGCTCAACCAATACACAATGCAAGTTTTCCTGCAAACATTTGTAGAAAACGCTTCCGCCACTACGCCGCTATAGTCGCAGTGATGCCTACCAAATCAGTACAGGGGTATGCGGTGGCAATAACGGTATATATTAAAAAAAAAAGAATGTCCCATGCACAACTGAGTAAATTATGAATTAGTTCATTTTGTTTTGAGAAATGAATTAATTAACTAATTCATCTCGTTTCAAAAACTTTTTTTTAAAATTTATTTTGATTTTTTTATTTCAAAAAATGAAAAATAAGACAAATTTAATAAGAAAATGAGGTATTTTATAAAATAAAAATTTTTAAATTAATCATTATCAATGCTGATTAAAAAAATTAAATAACTAATTTTTTAAACCGGAGCGACTAATTAGTTCGTTTCTCAAAACGAAAGGAACTAATTTATAATTTACTCGGATATAATTTCGATTTTTATTTTATGTGTTTCTTAAGGAACGTTTGTGGAAAACCACAAGGATAAAAATATAGTTAAATGTACTCTCTTGTGAAGAAAGGTGAAGAATTACAAGAGAGAAAATTCTTATCTTTTATGTTTTTACCTTTTTAATTTAATGCTTGATTTTTTCTTAATTTCCTTTGACTTCGAATTTAGGAGTATTGTTAGCCGTATATTATTTGATCATTAACAGTTACATTAGTTTATAATTTGATTTAACTTGGATTGAAAAAATCAATGATCGTACTTTTTGTTCGTTAGTGTATATTATCTAATCATTAATAATTACATTTAATTTAACTTGTATTGAATTTTTCAAGTCACACCAAGCACTTTTAATGCTTTAACATTCACGTCTTTTAAATTGCTATACGTTAAGGATGAATTTATAATTGTCACATTAGGATTACGAGGGCTAGAACACATTTTTTTATTTTGGAAGGATTATTTTGTAAGAGCACCTTGAATATAAATATAAATATATGTGTGTGTGTGCAGGAAAACAGTAAAATCCTGAAATCAACTTCGAAAGCTATAGCGAGTCTAACTTGCTTTTGGAAAGAAATTTAGAGAAAATTCAGAATGCGTGCCATGAAAACTGATCTCAAGGTGGATATAAACAAAACCTGAATGCGTTGACCATGTAGTATCTACGGGAAGATTCTCGTAAGTGATTTGACCGGACTTGAAATTAATTGCCCCGTTCAACATCAAACGTGGGAGAGAGCACACTTCCGCAGAGCAGGTTTTACCTCGTTGGGATAACAAGTGGAATAATTTTGGTAGAGTCCACATTAATTAATAACATAAAATCTACATGGTTTACCAGATCAACGCCGCACACATTTCACTAGCCCAGATGAGATTTTTTAGTGCCAACTGCTATAATAATAAATGTTATTTGCGGCCAAATTGCATCAGGTTCGCCTCCACCCGCACATATGTCCTACGATCATTACGCAAATTAGCAGAAAAGTCTAAAGTAATCACTATCTTGCTGAGTTTATCGCGTGTAATTTCTGGGCTCGGAAATTGGGCAGGTGGCACTCACCCACTCACTGGAATTGGCCTTATGATTTCTTTTGGGGCAGACCTCAATCAGTCCCCAACTATATATAGTTTTTAAATTAAGTCTCAAAACTACTATTTTGTCAATGGTGTCCCATATCTGTTAAAATAATCGGACAGGTGCTGGTCGTATGTATTCTAACTCACTTGATTTCTCTAAGTCTTGGGTGCAAAAATATCCAATATTGCTTTCAATTAAAACATTTTATGACCAATTAAGACATAGTTGAAGTAGTTTTATAATACGATCAAATATACGTTCTTGCAGGTGTTGAATGAAAGGAAAAATTGGATGTTCTGCACTAAGATTTGCAAGAACTATGATAAGTAAGGAAAGTATGTGACTGGCATGTGTGAATTTTTCCATCTCCAGTTATTTTTCAATATGGACTTGAATGAAGAAAATTAAATAGATGGGACTCATCTGATAAAATTATAGCTGAACGACTCGATTGAGAAGTAATAAAAAGTTGGGAAACTAGCATGAGGTTTGCTGGAATTGTGTGCAAAACTAATAATAGAGCTGCAAATTCATCGGTTCCTTTTCCATCTGTGAGTGATAACCAGCTTCTAGGATACAAAAGACATCGTCGCCCATCCACCTAACTTTTCCAGTCTATTTAATTGGAGACAAAAAAAAGCCGGGCAATAGTCGATAAACATGGTATATGGTAGACTGGCATGATCTACTTCATACCTTTCCTTTTACCATACTTCAAGCTTGTTTTAAACTATTACTATATGTCTCTGCCAAAGTAAAACAGATCTCATGTCGCATTCCAAGTCTCAATTTCACCTAATTCACCCCATGTTTTCGCTGGAGGATCTTGGCTTGGATAGTAACCAAACGAAGCAATTCTTGCGTCTGAATGAATATCCAATGCCTCTGTTGCCTTTTTGAAAAAAAATAAAAAATTAAGAATACAAACGAGCTGAACAGGTTGCGTTGTTTTTGTCTTGATATATCTAGGTGGCAACAATTTCACAAATTATTGCCACGAATGGAGAACGACATCAAAACACACAATGGATGTAGCAGGCTTCAGCAACACGTAGTAGATCATATGTCGTAAAGTCTGCGAAACCGGCCATAAATCCTAATTATATTCAGGCATTCTAACACTTATTTCTTGAGTTTCAAAGAGATTGATCTTTTTTTTAAAATTTATTTATGCATGTTTTAAAATATTTACATGGTTAAAAGTTGAAGTAATGTAATTTAATTAAAATTTATTTGGTAAAATATTTTTCTAAATACAATTCTAAAAATAATATTTTATAAAAATATTAACAAAAAAAAATTGATATAACATAATATATAATTAATAACTTTTTTAATAATTGTAAAAAATAAGAATGACAATATTTTTAAGACAAAAAGAGTATATGGCAAATCATCAGTCATCTACTAACTAACTTTTATCCTGGAAAATAGATGCAAATTTGGAAATTTACCCTTTTTTTGGTTAGTACGTACTTAAAAAGATTATTTTCTATAACTTGCAAAATTCCAAGTAGTTGCCTGAAATGTTAATTGTTTATTTTTCATTTGATTGCAAGGAGATGTTTTTGAATCAATATATGTATGCCCATCAAAATTATAATCCTTCCTTCTATTTTATCAGGCTTTAAAGACAAACCAATCATTAACGTTAAAAAAAAAAAACTCTTATTATAAAAAAGATTTTTTTCTTTTCTATTTATACGTGTCTCGAAATATTTATTTGATTAAAGTTTTAGATAATATACTTTTTTAAGATATCCATATTTTACAATACAAGTTTGAATTGGATAAATTTTTTTCTTAAACAATTTTTTTTTTTAGAAAAAAGTTGTTAAACAAAAACTCATATGATATTACAGTTAATAAATTTATTTAACTGTGTGAAAAAAAAACTATTATTTTAAAACAAACGGAACAATTGATATCGGAAATAAAAAATTCATTAAAAATATATATAATGGATTTTTTTTTCAATGGGTGTTGTTGGAAGAATAAGGATAGCTTTATTTTCATAATAATTGATCTAAAATTAGAAAAAAAAAAAGTGTGCCCACCTGAAGACTAACTACTCTCTCGAAATATGTCTTGATGATTGGCATTAAATGGTAACGGTTATTTTTTGCATTTCCACAGAAAAGAAAATAATCAATCATCACACCTCATTTAGATTTTAAGGAGCACCAAGTATTAGATATCAACAGTAGCATCTACGTCAGATGCCTTAGTCATTAAGGAATAGGCAAAAGGTAACAATATTCATTGAATGAAATGCCGGCCAAAAAAAATATTAGTACCCAATAAAGAGCCTCAAAAGCAGCTAATAAAGAGGGAAGCAGAAAAAAAATAAAATTGAACTAATAAAGAGCTTCTCACTGGCCAAAGTTTTAAAGTTTAATCCCCCTCGTAATCCATTGTGGAGAACCAAATGTAGAACTAAAGAAAGAGGAAATCACGTCTTGTCCGACAATCACGAGATGCCACGTGGAGTGCCTTAGAGTCGTGGATCCCACGCTGACGTGGTTGAGAAGAACCAGCGTTTCAGTATGAACACATTAAGTCTTCTTGAGAGCGAGAAACAAATTAAAAAAGTAATAGTACTACTATCGTAGACAGAGAAAGAAACGAAAACGGGAAAGAAAATCTTAGAGAGAGAGATATAGAGCGAGAAACAAGGCGCGGAGAAGCCGTCCAAAAACAGCAGCAGAGAGAGAAAATTTCTTGATTTATCAAAGATAATAATCATAAATAATCGTCATTTTATTATCCCTTTCTTTCTTCCTTGTGTTTCTCATAATTATAACCGAAGTCGCGTTTTCCTTCTTTTTAGGGCTCAAAAATTTCACATTTCCCCTAAAAAATCAAAATTAAGTAAAAACAGCAAGACAAGAGAAAAGAAAAAAAAATCACTTAATGCGAAAGGAGAAATTAAACCCCCCAGATCTTGCTGCCCATAAATCCCGACTCCGATCGGTCCTCTTCTTTTTCAAACATTTCCTTTCCAGTTCTAGCTCAATTGATTCAATTTCTTAATTTTATCTGTTTTTCTCCGTATATTTTGTTGTTAATTTTTTGTTTGGCATGGTGGAGATTTTAATTCTGAGCTAGGAAGGAGAGCGAGAGGGAGAGATCCTTCTAGATATTTATCAGTATTAGTATCTTAACAATCCAGAAGGTTTTGGATCTGGTGAAACTGAATTGAAATCGTCGTACGTCGTCCGTCGGATGAGAGGGAATCGTAGAAGAGAATTGAAAGAGAAAAAACGATGAAATGGGTAACATTGCTTAAGGACATAAAAGAGAAGGTCGGTTTAACTCAATCTCCATCTTCTAGTTCACCAGCTACTGCTGCTTCTTCTCCTCCTTCCTCATCGCCTGCTTATTCACACAATGCTTCCTCTTCTTCCACTTTTCAAGACTTCGCTTCATCTCCTTCCAGGTTCTTTTATTTTTTCCTTTGAAATAATTTAATTTAATATTTATTTACATGTATATTCATCGTTTTTGTTGTTTTATTTAGTAGATGATTGATTTGGGATATTTTTAGCTGCACATTTTGAAATTGAAACGCAATCAGCGTTGACTGCTCTTGAATATTAATCCGTAATTGGAGTAGATGAGCTCTGCTGACTATTATTTTGTTGCTGGAAATTGGCACTTTGTTGTTTTTGATTAAGTAATACATTTTTAGATTTGTAATTTTTAGTAGTTAGAAATTTATATATTGAATTGATTTGAAGTTTTAGGGGAAACATGGATAGATTTTTCAGATTCTAAAGGTTCAAGAGATAACGAGATTGCAATAGATTATTCTGAATGTAGAATTGATGATTGCTTTTTTTTTTTTAAAAAAAAAATTACTGTGGAGGAGCTTGGATTCAATTAGGCGTATCATATATGCTACTAACTTCGAAAGCGAGCAGTGGTGAAAATGATGATGGTTAACGGATAATCAAGAGTGACGGCAAATTCTTTTATTACATTTGCAATTTGTTTCTCGAAGCACCTCACTCACCCTTGTAACTTGAAGAGGCTACTCTTGCCTTCCCACCCAAAAACCAACTTTCTGGTTGTTGATGCTGGCATATCTGTATCTGCAGTTCTTGATATTCCATTCTAAATCTAGTCTTGAACTATTGCCCTACCTTTAAGTATGCCATTTCACACTGATGTAAACTTTTCTGTTCTTTTTCCCCCTATGAAATGCAGAGATAGATATGAATTGGAATTGGACTTCAAGAGATTTTGGGAGGAGTTCCGCTCATCCAGCTCCGAAAAGGTCCTTGATTCCTATCTTTTTTACCTGCCATACTGTTGTGTGACATTTCATTACTGTTTTCTTGCAAGAATTCATCATTGCATGCAAAATAATTAGTGATTGCTGATGGCTCTTTCATTGTCTATGCAGGAGAAAGAAACGGCCTTGAATTGGACTGTAGATGTTTTTTGTAGATTAGTGAAGCAGCACGCTAATGTAGCTCAGTTAGTTACCATGTATGGACGATCTTCCAATTTGGATTTGCTGGAATGGTTTTAGATTTCTTTTTTCCATTACATAATTCTTATAACTTGTAAGATTATCATTTGCCATTGGTCATTTGCAATAGAAAGGGATCAAAGGATCATGTTAGGCATGCTGTATTTGTGGTTATTCCAGTCATCTGGATGCAGTGGAATTATAGAATTTTGTAGAATTTTCAAGAATCATTTTACATTAAGGCAACAATTACAGGATACCATAGTGTTTAGGTTTTCCTTTGGGTGTACTACTTTAAAGGACTTGAGAGGTGTTTCCATGTCCGTGGTTTGGAAAGCCTTATTGCTGTATATTTTTTTCCCCATTTTGGTTGTCCTACCCCTTCTCTTAGGAGAATATCTTATTCTTTGTTTTGTAGTTACCGTTTCTCTTTCTATCATGAATATGGTTCTTTATCAACAAAGTCTTGATTAGCATTAGTTAGCATTTTCATTCTGATTGTTCAAACTGACTCTTTCTCAATCCTTTTTCACAAGTTATATTTTCTAAAATTTATGTGATTTCCTCAGTTGCATAAGATATACAATTTTTGTTGCTTTGTATGAAATGCATCTTTCAGTAATGCATGTCAACAGAAGGGCTGGCAGTTGTTTTCATCTATTAAATAAGATTTGACCTTTTAGTGCTTTGCATGGTTCTTGGCATGTTAAACATGTTTGCTATTTTTGGTGAATCACAGGTTAGTTGAAACGCATATATTTGCTTTTGTTGTGGGAAGAGCATTTGTAACCGATATTGATAAATTAAAAATCGGCAGCAAAACAAGATCTTTGGATGTAGAGAAAGTGTTGAGATTTTTCTCTGAAGTTACGAAGGTTTGCCTCTCAAAAGCTTTTATCAAAATACTGTCCTTTACTTTTTAATCCTGGTGATTTGTTAATGCAAGCCATGTTCTCCATGCTATTTGTTCAGGATGGCATCAGTCCTGGTTCAAATTTGTTAACCGCCGTTGAAGCCCTTGTATCTGGGGTATGTTTCTCTTATAATCACCTGCTTCAGATAAAATTAAAAAAAAATACAAAATACAAAAAGCTTCAGGAAATTATATTTGATTCTTTCTATAGTCAGAGTTAGGCTAATCTGCAGTCCCTCGTCAAAAGTCAAGGGATTGATTTTGAGTGATTGAAACTGTTTAGCTATTGAAGCTGCCTGGTAAATGAAGCTAGCAAGTATTATTGCTAACTAGATGAAAATTTCACTCTGTTTTCATGCTACTGTTAAGAAAGCGCTGTGAACAAGGTGTTTCTTTCTTTTTCTTTTTTTCAGCCTATCGATAAACAATCGCTCCTTGATTCTGGAATATTATGCTGTCTCATTCAAATTCTCAGTGCCCTTCTGAGTACTGAAACCTATCAATTGCAAAAGCTTACAAACTCTGAAGGACCATTGCTACCTGAAAAAGATCAAGATGATGCTTTAGGGCAAGTTAGACGGCTTGAGGTAGCGCTTTTCTTGTATTAGTCCTTCTGGTTGCTGTTACTTGCCATATAATATTTGACATGTTTTGGGTTAAACCCCTGTGACATTGTCTTAGACACTAACATTTTTATTTGCCTTTGTGTCATCTTAATAATGTAAAAAGCATTCAGCAGTTGTGGATACACAACTAGAAGACTAGAACTAAGGATTTGAAGTCTAATATATTCCTTTTTTTCCCCCATCCAGGTGGAGGGAAGTGTAGTGCATATTATGAAAGCACTGGCAAGCCATCCTGCAGCTGCACAAAGCTTGATTGAAGATGATTCACTTCAATTGCTGTTTCATATGGTTGCAAATGGGTCTTTAACAATATTTTCTCAGTATAAAGAAGGTCTTGTTCCACTGCACAGCATACAACTCCATCGGCATGCAATGCAGGTAAATGTATAGTCTCTTGGCCCATATATGCAGTGATGGAGCTGCACATGAGTTCCTTAATGTTATAGCCACTTAAAAAGATTCAGATAAGCTTTATGGCTCAGTGTTTGAAACTGCTTCTTGCTGTTTTTGGTTGCTCCAGATACTCGGTCTTCTTTTGGTCAATGACAATGGAAGCACTGCAAGATATATACGCAAACACCAGCTGGTACTGGCAATACACATATGAGAATTATATTAGAAAAGCATAGAGTACTGTAAGGAACTTGTATTTCATCCGTCCCGTCTTCCATATCGAAGAATATGGATTGGTGGAACCTTCTGGTTTTCTCACAACTTCTCTACAAAAGTTCACTGGGATTTTAAATTGTCATTACCCAATGTTTTGCCATTCTCAATACAAAAATTAACTTTGTGTTTGTATAACCTAAATTTCTTTAAATTTGCTGGCACAATAATTGAAACTTTTCAAGTTTGCTTTTGTTTGCTTGAATTAAGTAGTTGAAGTAGTTTTAGGTAAAGTTTGATCATAAAACTCTATTAGTATGTATTTAGGTATAAATGAACCCTAAATGAAAACTACAAAATTTTAATCTACAAGCAGTTTGAACCATAGGATTATTGATGCAATATGAGAATCACAGGGCAATTGTATGCAATTGGTTTGCTGCATTTCCCTTTTGGAGAAGCAGTGACGAACTGCAGGGAGCTTTCTACAAATCATTTTACAAAGACAAGAAGAGATCATAGTTGTTTATCCGTTTCATGATGTAACTTTTAACCAAGTGTTCACTTCAAGCTTTCCTATAAATAATGCATCCTGGAATGAGTAATGTTCTGTGTCTTGCTAATTATAAACCCTACTTTGTGAAGCCAAATTGCAATTGGAATAAACTTTGAGAAAGTTCTGTAGGCTTTTGTCTGATGACCTATTTTTGAACATCATGATAATTTTGAAATATGCCTTTGTTGCTCTAAAACCAACCTTGTTTGGGAAGTGTGGTTACGCTAGTCGTGCCGCAGAATCTAGACATTCTTTTTGCTATTATTAAAAAAAAAAAAAAAAACTTTGACCTTGTCTTTCCTTATTTAATGTCTTGTTTCTGATTATAATAATTGGCGTAGTTTGTTGTCTTGTTTTATTTTCTAAAGATCATACTCATTGGGTGATATTCTCTGTTTCACATGCAGATAAAAGTTCTTTTAATGGCAGTTAAAGATTTCAATCCGGGCTGTGGTGATTCTGGCTACACCATGAGCATTGTGGACTTGTTACTTGAATGTGTGGAATTGTCATACAGACAGGGTAATTTGGCCATCAGTTTTACTTCTTGAATTGAATAAGATCAATGGATCAAAATTCTGTGGTCTTGACTGCTGAAATAAGATGTAAAGATATTAATTTATTGTTTCAGAATGATCTGGAATTCAAATCATTTTGAGCTTTAAAATTGTTAAATGTATGCTACTGCTGATTTTTTGTACAATTTTGATTCGTAGAAGCCGGTGGTGTCAGGCTCAGGGAAGATATACATAATGCCCATGGTTATCAGTTCCTTGTGCAGTTTGCATTGGTTCTGTCTGCTGTGCCACAAAATCAGGACCCTCAGTCTGTTTTTTCCAAGACTCCTGCCTTCAATGGTACAGCAGATGGGTCTCGTGCAATAAATGATGAACGGAGACAAGATTTAACAGAAAAGGAAGATCCCTCACCAGCTCAATTATCACCTGCATTATCTAGATTGCTTGATGTTCTTGTTAATCTATCTCAAACTGGTCCTGCTGAATGTACAGCATGGTCAGGAGGCAAAAGTTCCAAATCTTCTCACACTCGCCATAACAGAAGTCGCACGTCATCTTTAGATCGAGTTGCTGATGAAAATTGGGAGAAAGACAACACTAAAGTTAAAGACCTTGAAGCAGTCCAGATGTTGCAAGACATTTTTCTAAAGGCAGACAGCACAGTACTGCAGGCAGAAGTATTAAATAGAATGTTTAAGATATTCTCTAGTCATCTTGAAAACTATAAGCTGTGTCAGCAATTACGGACTGTTCCACTTTTCATCCTAAATATGGCTGGTTTCCCGCCATCACTGCAAGAGATAATCTTGAAAATTCTAGAGTATGCTGTAACGGTTGTGAATTGTGTTCCTGAGCAAGAGTTGCTTTCTCTTTGTTGCTTATTGCAGCAACCGATAGCATCAGAGCTGAAGCACACTATACTCTCTTTCTTTGTGAAACTTTTATCATTTGATCAACAGTACAAGAAAGTCCTGCGAGAAGTTGGTGTGCTAGAAGTTCTGTTAGATGATCTGAAGCAGCACAAGTTTCTTTTGGGCCCAGAACAGCAGACTGTTAGTCCCAGTCAGTCAGAAAGAAAATCTAGCTCAAGTAGTTTCAAGAAACACATTGACAGTAAAGATGCTATTCTTTCTTCACCCAGGCTAATGGAATCTGGTGGCTCAGGGAAGTTACCCATTTTTGAAATTGAGGACACAATAGCTGTTGCATGGGATTGTATGGTCTCTTTAGTGAAGAAAGCTGAAGCCAGTCAAGCGTCATTTCGGTCAGCTAATGGTGTGACCATTGTTCTTCCTTTTCTTGTGTCAAATGTTCATCGACCTGGGGTACTCCGGATATTATCATGTTTGATCACTGAAGATATTGCACAAGTATGTGAGCATGCCTTTTTACCGATCTGTTAAATGTTTGAATGGTCATATTAGCTACGCATGCTCTCATGCATGTATAACTGAATTCTTTCTTCTTTTTTGTTTTTTATTAATCCCCAATAGTTTTCAGAAGTTCATGCCAAAATAAATGCTGGAATTTTATTTTACCAGGTTCATTCTGAAGAACTAGGTGTACTTGTTGAGGTTCTCAAAAGCGGAATGGTTACAAGTGGTGCAGGACATCAGTATAAGCTTCAAAGTGATGCAAAATGTGACACAATGGGTGCCTTGTGGCGCATACTGGGAGTCAATACTTCAGCTCAGAGGGTCTTTGGTGAAGCCACTGGATTTTCTCTTATGCTGACCACACTCCATAGTTTCCAAGGTGATGGAGAACAGACAGAAGAGTCTTCTTTAGAGGTTTATATGAAGGTGTTCACATACTTGCTGCGCCTCATGACAGCTGGAGTGTGTGATAATGCTATTAACAGGACAAAATTGCATACTATTATATCGTCCCACACTTTTTACGATCTTCTATCTGAGTCTGGCTTGCTTTGCGTGGAATGTGAAAAGCAAGTCATACAGCTATTCTTGGAGCTTGCTCTTGAAATTGTGCTTCCACCATTCTTGTCATTAGACAGTGGTATGCCAACCGATATGATTGAATCCGGGTCAGCTAGTTTTCTTTTTATTACTACATCAGGTCAGTTTAATCCTGATAAGGAACGAGTGCACAATGCTGCTGCCATTAGAGTTCTTATCCGCTCGTTGTTGCTTTTCACTCCCAAAGTGCAATTAGAAGTACTGAACCTTATAGAAAGGCTTGCTCGTGCTGGCCCCTTTAATCAGGAAAATCTCACCTCTGTAGGTGCGAATCAATATTTTATTCTTGCAATCTTTTCCATTTTATTGATCGTCTGTATTCTTTTGCCTGCTATTGTCTGTGTGTGTGTGTGTGTGTGTGTGTGTGTGTGTGTGTGTGCTATCTCTCTCTCTCTCTCTCTCTCAATTTTGTCATGTGTGTAGGCTGCGTGGAACTTCTATTGGAGACAATCCACCCCTTCCTTTCAGGCTCATCTCCATTACTTTTGTACACGTTGAAGATTGTGGAAGTTCTTGGCGCATATAGGTACGTCTCTGGAGAATACAATGTGTGATTTATTTACTTGACAATGGTTATCGTAGGAAATAAGGTTTATACTTTGGCTGTAGGTTATCTGCATCAGAACTCAGACTGCTTATTAGATACATTCTGCAAACGAGGGTCATGAATTCAGGTCATATTCTTGTTGATATGATGGAGAGGTTGATTCTTATGGAAGATATGGCCTCAGAAAATGTCTCTTTGGCACCGTTTGTTGAGATGGACATGAGTAAGGTTGGCCATGCTGCTGTTCAGGTGTCTCTGGGAGAAAGATCCTGGCCTCCTTCTGCGGGTTATTCATTTGTTTGTTGGTTCCAGTTTAGACATTTCTTGAAATCACAGGCAAAGGAAACAGAGCCGTCCAAAGCTGGCCTTTCCAAAAGGCGGAGTAGTTCATATGGGCAGCATAATGAACGCCATCTTCTCCGTATATTTTCTGTTGGTGCGGCAAGCAATGAAAGCACATTTTATGCAGAACTTTATCTTCAGGAGGATGGTGTTCTAACCCTTGCTACTAGCAACTCTAGTGCCTTGACTTTTTCTGGATTAGAATTGGAAGAAGGCAGATGGCATCACCTTGCTGTTGTTCATAGCAAACCAAATGCTCTTGCTGGACTATTTCAAGCTAGTGTTGCAAATGTGTATCTCAATGGAAAGCTAAAACACACAGGGAAACTAGGATATTCGCCTTCTCCGGCTGGGAAACCTTTGCAGGTCACCATTGGGACACCACTTAATTGTGCAAGAGTTAGCGAGTTGACATGGAAACTTCGCTCTTGCTATCTTTTTGAGGAGGTGCTTACATCAGGGTGTATATGTTTCATGTACATTCTTGGTAGAGGATACAGAGGGCTCTTCCAAGACTCAAACCTTCTACGTTTTGTCCCTAACCAGGCTTGTGGTGGTGGTAGTATGGCCATCTTGGATTCATTAGATGCCGACTTGCCATTGGCAACACAGAAGCTCGAGAGCGCTAGCAAGCAGGGGGATTCTAAAGTAGATGGTAGTGGGATTGTTTGGGATTTGGAGAGACTAGGAAACCTTTCACTGCAGCTTTCTGGAAAGAAACTTATATTTGCATTTGATGGAACATGTACTGAATCTGTTCGAGCATCTGGAATATTCTCCTTGCTCAATCTGGTTGATCCTATGTCAGCTGCTGCCTCTCCTATTGGGGGTGAGTGAATAGAATCTGGATTTTATGTTTTATACAAGTTATGCAGAGGGGCTGTTACTTATCTGCTCCTGCTCTCTCCCCTCCCCCTCTCCTCCCCCTTCTCATTCTTTTTATTTTTGCCTCAGGTATACCACGATTTGGACGCCTTCATGGAGATATCTATGTTTGTAGGCAATCTGTAATTGGTGATGCAATTCGCCCTGTTGGTGGTATGGCTATTATCCTGGCCCTTGTTGAAGCTGCTGAAACCAGGGATATGCTTCACATGGCTTTGACATTACTTGCCTGTGCACTTCATCAGAATCCCCAGAATGTGAAAGATATGAAAAAATATAGGGGATACCATTTGCTAGCTCTGTTTTTGCGTCGTAGGATGTCATTATTTGACATGCAATCTCTTGAGGTCTTTTTTCAAATTGCTGCATGCGAGGCTTCATTTTCTGAACCAAAGAAGTTGGAACGCAGGCAAACTAGTTTATCACCAGCTGCCACTTTGCTGGAAACCAGCTTTGAGGAACTCAGCTTGTCAAAATTTCGCGATGAAATTTCTTCAGTTGGATCTCATGGGGACATGGATGATTTTTCTGTGCAAAAAGATTCGTTTAGCCATATTTCTGAGCTTGAAAATTCTGATATGCTTGTTGAAACTTCAAATTGTATTGTCTTGTCAAATGCAGATATGGTTGAGCATGTCTTGTTGGACTGGACATTGTGGGTGACTGCCCCAGTTTCAATTCAAATTGCACTTCTAGGATTTCTGGAGCATTTGGTGTCCATGCATTGGTACAGGAATCATAACCTTACAGTTCTGCGACGAATAAACCTTGTTCAGCATTTGCTAGTCACTCTGCAGCGTGGTGATGTTGAAGTTCCTGTTTTGGAGAAATTAGTGGTGTTGCTCGGGGTCATTTTGGAAGATGGGTTTCTGGCTTCTGAACTAGAGAATGTGGTGAGGTTTGTGACTATGACATTTGATCCACCTGAACTGAAACCAAGACATCGAATAGTGCGAGAATCAATGGGTAAGCATGTAATTGTAAGGAATATGCTCCTAGAGATGCTTATTGATTTACAAGTAACCATCAAATCGGATGAGTTACTTGAGCAGTGGCATAAGATTGTGTCATCAAAATTGGTTACGTATTTCCTTGATGAAGCTGTTCATCCTACAAGTATGAGATGGATCATGACTCTTCTTGGTGTGTCTCTTGCTTCTTCTCCCACATTTGCTCTTAAATTTCGCACAAGTGGTGGTTATCAGGGTCTGATGCGGGTGCTTCCTAGTTTTTATGATTCTCCTGATATATATTATATTTTGTTCTGTCTGATATTTGGAAGGCCTGTGTACCCGAGACTACCAGAAGTGCGCATGCTAGATTTTCATGGCCTTATGCCAAGCGATGGAAGCTACGTGGAGTTGAAATATGTGGAACTATTGGAATCAGTGATTGCGATGGCAAAATCTACTTTTGATAGGTTAAGCATGCAGTCAATGCTTGCTCATCAAACTGGTAATCTTTCCCAGGTTGGTGCCAGCCTTGTCGCAGAGCTTGTGGAAGGAAATGCAGACATGACAGGAGAGCTTCAAGGTGAAGCTTTGATGCACAAGACATATGCAGCACGCTTAATGGGTGGTGAGGCATCAGCTCCTGCTGCTGCAACCGCAGTTCTAAGATTTATGGTTGATCTTGCAAAGATGTCTCCTCCCTTTGCAGCCGTCTGCAGAAGGCCTGAATTTCTTGAAAGCTGCATTGACCTTTATTTTTCTTGCATCAGGTTTGTTTTCAAAGATGCTGCAATTTGTATCCTATTTTCTGGATGCTTTGTTTAGATTTTTGAAACTATTTATTCCCAATTTTAATTACTCGAGCAAGATTGTGATTGGCAACCCTTTTTTTTTTCTTGCAGGGCAGCTTATGCAGTGAAGATGGTGAAAGCACTTTCTGAGCAGACAGAAGAAAAGGACTTGAATGATTGTGATGATACCAGCAGTTCTCAAAATACATTCTCTAGCTTACCTCTTGAACAAGAACACTCTGTGAAGACCTCCATTAGTGTCGGAAGCTTCCCTCAAGGGCATGCAAGTACTAGTTCTGAAGATATGCCCGTGCCCCTAAATGATGTGGCTGATGTTAAAGCTGAGATCGATGTCTCTAATTCCCATGAGGAATTGAAAAAATCAACCCAATGTGTTGCAGCTGTTCGGAACTTGGATGGGGATAATGCTGACCAGAATTTTGCCACCTCTAGCTCAAATGAATTCAATATCCGTAATGTTAATGGCAATATGGATTCCTTTCGACAGGCAGAATCCCAGAGTTCAGCATCTCTTAATATACCAGATTCTCCTATTATGTCAGAGAAGTCGAGTTCAAGAATTCCCCTCACACCATCTTCATCTCCGGCTGTTGCATTGTCATCTTGGCTTGGCAGCGCATCCCACAATGAATCCAAAGCTTCTTTACAAGCCACTCCTTCCATGGAGTCTTCTGTGTCTGGTAGTGAATTTGATCCATCTGCAGACTTGAAGTCTATTTCCCAAGGACCATCTGCTGCAAATTCCTTTTTTGCAGTTAGCCCGAAGCTTCTACTTGAAATGGATGATTCTGGCTATGGGGGTGGGCCATGTTCTGCCGGAGCGACTGCTGTGTTAGATTTCATGGCAGAAGTTCTTTCTGATTTTATCACTGAGCAGATTAAAGCAGCACAGGTTATAGAGGGCATCTTGGAAACAGTACCTTTATATGTTGATGCTGAATCTTTGTTAGTTTTCCAGGGTTTGTGCTTTAGCAGACTGATGAACTTTTTGGAAAGGCGTCTTTTGCGTGACGATGAGGAAGATGAGAAAAAGCTAGACAAAAGTCGATGGACCTCAAACTTGGATGCATTATGCTGGATGATAGTAGATCGTATCTATATGGGTGCCTTTCCTCAACCTGCTAGCGTGTTGAAAACTCTCGAGTTCATGTTGTCAATGTTACAGTTGGCAAACAAAGATGGTCGCATTGAAGAAGCAGCTCCTGCAGGAAAGAGTCTTTTATCTATTACGAGAGGAAGCAGGCAACTTGATACTTATATAAATTCACTCCTTAAGAACACAAATCGTACGATAATGTATTGTTTTTTGCCATCATTTTTGGTCACCATAGGAGAGGATGATCTTCTTTCACGCTTAGGTTTGCTTATTGAGCCAAAGAAAAGATTATCGTCCAATTCTTCACAAGAAGATTCAGGAATTGATATCTGCACAGTTTTACAGTTGCTAGTTGCTCACAAGCGCATTATTCTCTGTCCCAGCAATGTTGATACTGATCTGAATTGCTGTCTTTGTGTAAATCTAGTATCTCTTATCCGTGATCAAAGGCAAAATGTTCAGAACATGGCAGTCGATATTATCAAATATCTGCTGGTGCTTCGCAGGGCTGCGCTAGAAGACTTGCTTGTTTCTAAACCAAATCAAGGGCAGCACTTGGATGTACTACATGGTGGCTTTGACAAATTATTGACTGGTAGTTTATCTACTTTCTTTGAGTGGTTTCAGAGGTCTGAATTGATGGTCAACAAAGTATTGGAGCAGTGTGCAGCCATTATGTGGGTTCAATGTATTGCTGGATCAGCAAAATTTCCAGGAGTGAGAATTAAAGGTTTGGAGGGTCGTCGTCGGAGGGAAATGGGGAGAAGATCGCGGGATATTTTGAAGTTAGACCAAAAACATTGGGAACAGGTAAATGAACGAAGATATGCATTGGAAATGCTTCGTGATGCAATGTCTACTGAGTTAAGAGTTGTCCGCCAAGATAAGTATGGATGGGTTCTTCATGCTGAAAGTGAGTGGCAAACCCTTCTTCAACAACTTGTACATGAGCGCGGAATATTCCCACTGCGGAAATCCTCTGCAATTGAAGATCCTGAATGGCAGCTTTGTCCCATTGAAGGTCCATACAGGATGCGCAAAAAGCTTGAGCGCTGCAAATTGAGGATTGACACTGTCCAAAATGTTCTTGATGGACAGTTTGAATTAGGAGAAGCAGAGTTGTCCAAAGGAAAATATGAGAATGGTCTTGAAGCTTCTGATACTGACACTGAATCATTTTTTCATCTTTTAACTGATGGTGCCAAACAAAATGGTGTGGATGGCGATATGTATAGTGAATTTCTTAAAGAATCAGATGATGTGAAAGGTGCAGCTTCTGATAGAAGTGGATGGAATGACGATCGAGCTAGTAGCTTGAATGAAGCAAGTCTTCACTCAGCACTTGAGTTTGGTGTCAAGTCTAGTACCGTGTCTGTCCCAATGTCAGAGAGCATGCAAGAAAAATCTGACATTGGAACTCCAATGCAATCATCATCTAATAAAACAGATGAAATCATAGTCACGGAAGATAAATCAGATAAAGAACTGAATGATAATGGTGAATATCTGATCCGACCATATTTGGAACCTCACGAAAAGATACGATTCAAATATAACTGTGAGCGAGTTGTGGGTTTGGACAAGCATGATGGTATATTTTTGATCGGGGAACTTTCTTTATACATAATTGAGAATTTTTACATCGACGATTCTGGCTGTATTTGTGAAAAAGAATGCGAGGATGAACTCTCTGTTATTGATCAGGCTTTGGGTGTAAAGAAGGATGTTACTGGCAGTGCCGATTTCCAGTCCAAGTCAACTTCATCCTGGACCACAACTTTAAGGACATGTGTTGGCGGAAGGGCATGGGCCTATAATGGTGGTGCATGGGGCAAGGAGAAAGTGTGTACTAGTGGTAATTTACCCCATCCTTGGCATATGTGGAAGCTTAACAGTGTTCATGAGATTCTGAAACGTGATTACCAGCTCCGACCTGTTGCTGTTGAGATTTTCAGCATGGATGGATGCAATGATCTCCTTGTGTTCCACAAAAAGAGAGAGAAGAAGTGTTCAAAAATCTGATTGCTATGAATCTTCCAAGGAATAGCATGTATGATTCTGCTACTCATTGCCTTTGATTTTTCTTTCATGATTGTTTTCTGTTTGTTCATACTTGCCATTATCTAAAAATTGCATTTTGCTGATTATTTTTTGACTATGTATGATTTTTTTTATTTTTTATTTGTTCACATGTTATATGTGAATGCTATGTTGTAGCTGTGTATCAACTCTGACTCTAAATTAGGAGCTAAAGGTTGTTATGCTAGATTTTTTCTAGTGTTTAACAGTTGCACAAAATTCTTGTTGATCTGGTAAGGGTTCAGTAGCATCCTTCATGTCTCAGTATAATTGAATCTTACTATGAACCAAAAAAGGTAAGATACCTAAGCTTTTAACAATTGGTGTCACAATGGCGGTCTTGTTATAATGGGAGATATTGTGGATTGGCCTTTCGATGTAGGATGATGAAAGGCTTCTAAAATTGATATTTCAATTTTATTTGGTCATTCTTGATCTTTTTTGTATTTTTTAGGAATTTTAATATTTTATATGTAGTATTTGTATTAGCTTTCAGAACAAATTTAGTTCTACTTCCTAGTTAGGCGGTTTTTCTGTTTTGCTTTTTTTTTTTTTTTTTCGTTTTCCTACTTTGTAATCACTTCAATGCTTATATGTAGCACCACCCTAGTTAGACATCCAAGTCAAGGTATTTTTTTTGAACTAGCAAATTGAGTTCAGTAATTGATTCTGTGTAGGTTTTATTCATATTTGGTTGGTTGTTCTAGCACTTGTCTGTAGGTTTCATATTCATAGGTGTCATGACAACGGAATGCAGGTTGAACACTTTTATCAAGGGCTTCTTCTATGTTTGCATTTTGCTCTCCCCAACCCCTAGAGAATAATAATAATGACAGATGGAAAAAAATAAGATCTTTCAGATAATTAAAGAGTTAGTTGCATCATTTTTTCAGATTGTTTAACAACTGACTCTATCTCCGAGCAATTAAACATGAAATGCATTGCACAAAAGAAAAAAACAGGGTATTTATTAAATGAAAGCAGATACTTCAGAGCGGAGGAACCGCTTCATCAACTGCTTAACAACTCTGACTGTATCACCGAGCAATTAAACGTGAACTGCATTGCACAAAAGAAAAAAAAAAAGGTATTTATTAAATGAAAGCAGATACTTCAGAGTGGAGGAACCACTTCGCTAACTGCACTACCGATTCTTTTGGGGATTGGAAAATACCCCGAAGTGTTTATGCATTACATTTTCAAATGTCAATTGAGATTCCATCTATATTTGTGAAATACGTCTAGATAGATATTGCCTTCTCATGAAATGATTTTCTGTGTGATGTCGTGGTTCACCACGCCCCTCCCTCCATTACATCCTCTGAGGTTGATGTAAGCAGCTCTTAAAGTAGGTTGTTATTTGATGTCTACAGCAAATATAGCTTATGTCATGCAACTGGGTGGTGGATGAATTTAAGATTTTTAAAATCTTTCATTTTTGGAAATGTAGAAAATGTTGTTTTATTTTATATTGCTTCTTGTTCTGTAAATCTAGTTTTTTGGGTCATTATGATTTTTAGCTTTAATTATGAATATGAGTTTTGTTCTGTTTTGGACTTTATTATAGTTCCTATATTTTAGGATTTCATTTTGACCTAAGGGCCTATATAAAGGGAATAATGTACTGGTTTAAAGGCAGCGAATAATTAATGAATAATATTGATAATTGAGGTTATTGTTTTCCTCTATATTGCTACTCTTCTCTATCCATCTCGCCCCCAAATTCCTCTTTCTTTCCTTGTTCTACATCACAATTTCCATCTCTTGGCAAATGGATATGCTAATAGTGTCTTGGAATCATAATAAGATGATTTTTATATCTATGCTGCTTATGTACTGATGCTAATCGACCTTTATAGATGCTTCCTTCTCAGGATATTTGAACCGAAGGTTGCTTAATTCACAATTCCCTCTTTTGGTTCAGGTTGGACACTACAATTTCTGGATCAGTAAAACAAGAAAGTAACGAGGGCAGCCGCTTATTTAAGATAATGGCTAAATCCTTCTCCAAAAGGTGGCAAAATGGAGAAATTAGCAATTTCCAATATCTCATGCATCTCAACACCTTGGCTGGTAGAGGATACAGTGATCTGACCCAATATCCAGTGTTTCCATGGGTTCTAGCTGATTATGAGAGTGAAAATCTGGATTTCTCAAATCCTAAATCATTTCGTAAGCTTGAGAAACCAATGGGTTGTCAGACACTAGAGGGAGAAGAAGAATTTAAGAAAAGGTTAGTCCTCGTGTTTGTAACTCCGTGATGATTCACTGGTTTCGATTTATTCTCATTTTCCTTTGTTGTTTTCTATTCAGATATGAGACCTGGGATGATCCAGAGGTTCCAAAATTTCATTATGGCTCTCACTATTCTAGTGCTGGAATTGTCCTCTTCTACCTTCTGCGCCTTCCACCCTTCAGTGTAGAGAATCAGAAGCTGCAAGGTGGTCAATTTGATCATGCAGATCGTCTTTTCAACAGTATTCGAGATACTTGGTTAAGTGCAGCCGGGAAGGGAAATACGTCTGATGTCAAGGAATTGATTCCAGAATTCTTTTACATGCCAGAATTTCTGGAAAACAGTTTCGATCTTGATTTGGGAGAGAAACAATCAGGGGAGAAGGTTTGTTTCTGAAAGTGAAAATTTATTTACTTTTGACTAATCTTTTTGTTTGATTATTTGACTTGTGATCTACCAAAATCCTTTGCTTTCTTTTGCGGACGTTAAAAATTTCTAGCATCCATGGTTCTTTTTTCTTTTCAGGTTGGTGGTGTCCTTTTACCACCTTGGGCAAAAGGCAGTGCTAGAGAGTTTATTAGGAAGCATAGAGAGGCACTGGAATGCGATTTTGTTTCTGAAAATCTTCATCACTGGATAGATCTCATTTTTGGATATAAACAGAGAGGGAAGGTGCGTTAGCATTCAGTACTTCTTTACACCAGCAAAGTATAGTCTTTTTGCACGTCAATCACATTCCAATCCTTGAGAAACAACTACAAAAATATAGTTTTTCTATTATATAGTTCAAACAATTGCCACCACCTCCACTACTTTGGAAGAGCAACTTTTGACACTAGGATATGCATTTCATTTTGATGATTTAACTCATCATTGGTCCATACTTTCAACTCCTTTGGGTGATTGTATCGTTCTGCAGCTATTATTTGTCTCAGTTCTCTTTGTGACCTAATATTTTCTTCACATAATTGACAGGCAGCTGAAGAAGCTGTAAATGTTTTCTATCATTACACATATGAGGGGAGTGTGGACATAGACTCTGTTACAGATCCTGCAATGAAAGCCTCAATTCTTGCACAAATCAATCACTTTGGGCAGACACCCAAGCAACTATTCCTTAAACCCCATGTGAAGAGACGTTCCGATAGAAGGATTCCTCATCCACTCAAGTATTCGTCCCATCTTGCTCCACATGAAATACGCAAGAGCTCATCTGCCATTACCCAGATTGTTACTTTTCATGAGAAAATTCTTGTAGCGGGCACAAACAGTTTGCTTAAGCCTACCACGTATACCAAATATGTTGCATGGGGTTTCCCAGATCGTAGCTTGAGATTTATGAGCTATGATCAAGATAGACTCCTCTCAACACATGAGAATCTTCATGGAGGCAGCCAGATTCAGTGTGCTGGTGCTAGTCATGATGGTCAAATTTTGGTTACAGGAGCTGATGATGGGTTACTGTGTGTTTGGAGAATCAGCAAGGATGGCCTTCGTGTGCTGCGGCACCTGCAGTTGGAGAATGCCCTTTGTGGTCACACGGCCAAAATCACATGCCTTCATGTTAGCCAGCCTTACATGCTGATTGTGAGTGGCTCCGATGACTGCACAGTTATTGTATGGGACCTCAGCTCCTTGGTTTTTGTTAGGCAGCTACCCGAGTTTCCTGTGCCAATTTCAGCAATTTATGTGAATGACTTAACTGGTGAGATTGTGACGGCAGCTGGAATTATGCTTGCTGTCTGGAGCATCAATGGGGATTGCCTTGCAGCGATTAACACATCCCAACTGCCATCTGATTCTATTCTCTCAGTGACAAGCTGTACATTTTCCGATTGGCTGGACACAAACTGGTATGTGACAGGTCACCAGAGTGGGGCAGTTAAGGTGTGGCATATGGTCCACTGCTCCAACCAAGAGAGTGCCTTGAGTAAATCTGGCTGCAATCTGACGGGTGGGCTAAATTTAGGTGATAAGGTACCTGAGTACAGGTTACTTCTCCATAAGGTACTGAAGTTTCATAAACATCCGGTTACTTCCCTTCATCTGACAAGCGACCTGAAGCAGTTACTCAGCGGGGATTCTGGTGGGCATTTGCTCTCTTGGACACTACCAGAGGAGAGCTTGATGGCTTCATCTAATCAGGGGTGAGAAGGGAAAATACTGGTGTAAGCGTGATTCTTTCAGCTCGTGGCAGCTATTTATTATTTATTGAAATCCTCTGTGGGCTGTTTGCCATCCTCGGCAAAGGAAAGGAAAGAGGATTCTATGTTCATAATACATTGAAAAGGGCGAACAAGGCAGCAGGGCTGGCCTGGGATTGAAACAGGACAGGCAAAAAGAAGATGAAATCTTTTATAGATGTCTGATAGGTGCCGAATTCCTGGCAAGCATGAAGACTGCTGTGCCGGGCTTCTGATTGAGAGAAGGGATAGCGAAGGCTTGCTTCTTGTTGTACTTTGGGTACTTGGGGAGGGCATTTTTGGTTTTGCACGTGAACATCGGTTATCAGGTTGTTTGTTCATTGTATATAGATGGAATTATGAACAGTGTGTAATGAAGTTGTATAGGGGAAAAGGGTGCCAGGAATGGAGAGTTGTGAAACCATCTGGCCAGGACTGGATCGTGATACAAGTTAATTGGGGGCTATTGTATTCTTCGGCTTAATTTTTTTTTGCGGCACCCACTGCCCATTTCTTGTTGAGAACTGTGCTCTCTGACTCTTTCCTCCTCTCGCTTTCTCTCTCTTAACTTGGATCTCTTCGTGCGTTGTCTTTTTTCAGGCTAGCGAAGTATATTCTCACTATGGTGATGTTTCTTGGCTAATGATATGTAGTGGGCAAATATTGTTGATCTTCGACAAAATTGGTCTCTGAAACGAAACCTGTTCTGGTCACCCTTAGTCTAGGTTAGACGAGGTATTCAATCGGTTTACTTAGAAACCAATGTTAGACTGCCACTCAATGCAAGAAGCATATTTCAGGTTGCATAGGGAATCGGGAATATGATAATAGCAGGACTGATTTTGGATCAGTTTCTTTCAGCTGTAATATTAAGCATAGATCTAGAAGCTGCTCTTTTTGATGAAATGGGAACGGGACGAGAAAATATAATTAGATACGAAATTAGGTTGAAAATGCGGCAATGAAAATTAAATTGAATTGAGATAAAATAAAACCTTGAAAATCAAAAGGGCCTCTGCCTTGCACTTGGGCTTATATTCTTACCCTCCAAAGTCACAAGCCACTTTCTATTCTCATGCATAGTCTGGACGATGGCTACGTCAATTCCACACTGTTACTACAATATCCCTAAAACCCTTACACGGTCCCAAACGTTAAACATGACCAATGTAGCAAACCCGTCTCTCAAAATCCCTAAATTCTCACAGAACTCCATAAAAAATTCCCCTCTTAAAATGACATTCAATAGAGGAAACCTCAAAGAAGCTTTTGTTTCTTTTTCTGCCATTTTCGTTGACCATGGCAACTCACTTCTGGTTAACCCAGAGGAGGTTTATGCGCCAATCCTTGAGCTTTGTGGAACCAAGAAAGCTCTTTTACAGGGCCAGCAAATTCATGCCTATTTAATAAAATCCAATTTAGTATCTGATTCTATGTTTTTGAGCACTAAACTTGTTTTTATGTATAGTAAGTGTGGGCCTATTTTGGATGCGGAGAAAGTGTTCGATAAAATGCACAACAGAACTATTTTTACATGGAATGCTATGATGTGTGCTTATGTATCAAACAGAGAACCTTCAAGAGCCCTTGAATTGTATGGCGAAATGCGGGTTTTGGGTGTTCCCTTTGATTCTTTTACTTTTCCTTGTGTACTTAAAGCGTGCAGTGTGGTCGAGGATATACGCCGTGGGGCTGAAATTCATGGTCTGGTAATTAAATGTGGATATGATTCTATTGTGTTTGTTGCTAATTCTCTTGTTGCCATGTATGCCAAGTGCAATGACATAATTGGGGCGAGGAAACTGTTCGATAGAATGAATGAAAGAAATGATGTCGTGTCATGGAATTCTATAATTTCTGCTTATTCTATGAATGGGCAGTGCATGGAGGCGTTGGGATTGTTTGGAGAAATGCAGAAAGCTGGTGTTGATGCGAATACTTATACTTTTGTTGCTGCTCTTCAAGCTTGTGAGGATTCTTCCTTCAAGAAACTGGGCATGGAGATTCGTGCTGCTATTTTAAAATCAAGTCAAGTACTTGATGTTTATGTGGCCAATGCTTTGGTAGCTATGTATGTGAGATTTGGTGAAATGAGGAATGCTGCTAGAATTTTTGATATGTTGGATGAGAAGGATATCATCACTTGGAATTCCATGCTTGCGGGTTTCATTCAAAATGGTTTATATAATGAAGCTTTGCAATTCTTCTCCGATTTGCAGGATGCTAATCTAAAACCTGATGAGGTTTCTCTAATAAGCATCCTTCCTGCGTCTGGGAGATTGGGTTATCTATTGAATGGAAAGGAAATTCATGCTTATGCAATGAAGAATGGGCTTGATTCTAATTTACAGATTGGGAATACACTTATAGATATGTATTCTAAGTGCTGTTGTGTGGCCTACGCTGGCCTTGTTTTTGATAAGATGCTCATTAAAGATCTCATTTCCTGGACAACAGTTATAGCTGGCTATGCTAAAAATAATTGTCATGTTGAGGCTTTAAAATTGCTGAGGGAAGTGCAGACGGTAGGGATGGACGTAGATACCATGATGATAAGAAGCACCTTGCTAGCTTGCAGTGGATTGAAATGCTTGTCCCATGCAAAACAAGTTCATGGTTACACTTTGAAGCGAGGTTTATCTGATCTTATGCTGCAGAATATGATCGTTGATGTGTATGGAGAGTGTGGGAAGATTAATTATGCAACTAGAATGTTTGAGTCGATAAAATGTAAAGATGTGGTATCTTGGACGAGCATGATATCGTGCTATGTCCATAATGGACTTGCAAACGAAGCTCTTGATGTTTTTTACCTGATGAAAGAAACCAGTGTTGAACCTGATTCTATAACTCTAGTGAGCATCCTCTCCGCTGCTGCTAGTTTATCTGCCTTGACTAAAGGAAAAGAGATTCATGGTTTCATATTCCGGAAGGGTTTCATGTTAGAAGGATCTACACTGAACTCTCTTGTGGATATGTATGCTCGTTGTGGAAGTCTAGAGAATGCATACAAGGTATTTATTTGTACCAGAAGTAGAAGTCTAGTTCTCTGGACAACTATGATCAATGCATATGGAATGCATGGATGTGGCAAAGCAGCTGTTGATTTATTTAGTAGAATGGAGGACCAAAAACTAATTCCCGATCATATTACCTTCTTGGCTCTTCTTTATGCATGCAGTCATTCAGGACTAACCGATGAAGGTAAAAGATTGCTTGAAACTATGAAATGTAAGTATCAGCTGGAGCCATGGCCAGAACATTTTGCATGTTTGGTTGATCTTCTTGGCCGGGCAAATCGCTTAGAAGAGGCATACAAATTTGTGCAAAGCATGCAGATTGAACCTGCTGCTGAAGTCTGGTGTGCACTCCTTGGGGCTTGTCGGATTCACTCAAATAAAGAACTTGGAGAAATCGCAGCACAGAAGCTCTTAGAGTTGGAACCAGCTAGTCCAGGAAGTTACGTGCTGATATCCAATGTCTTTGCTGCCAGTGGTAGATGGAAAGATGTCGAAGGAGTAAGAATGAGAATGAAGGGGAGTGGGTTGAAGAAAAACCCCGGATGCAGCTGGATTGAGGTTGGGAACAATATTCATACATTCCTTGCTAGAGACAATTCTCACCCAGAATTTTATAAGATTTATCAGAAGTTAGCTCAAATGACTGAGAAGTTGAAGAAGGAAGGGGGCTATGTGCCTCAAACCAAGTTTGTTTTCCACAATGTAGGGGAAGAAGAGAAAGTTCAGATGCTTTATGGGCATAGTGAAAGGCTGGCAATTGCATATGGTCTGTTGAGCACTCCTGGGGGAACCCCTATTAGAATTACAAAGAACCTTCGAGTTTGTGGTGATTGCCATACTTTTTGTAAGCTAGTCTCAAAATTCCTTGAAAGAGAACTGATTGTGAGGGATGCCAGCCGATTTCATCATTTTGAAGGCGGAGTCTGCTCTTGTGGTGATTTCTGGTGACTATATAAATTTGTACCTGAAAATTTGGCTCCCATAGGATTCTTTTCGATTCACTTTCAGTCACAAACAGGAAGCTAATGTTTCCTACATCACCTATCACGCTGCTGTTACCTTGCCATGTTCCAACACCGAGTTAAGATGGGATATAGATCCTGATAGGCAGGACTTTTGAGTAAGCATTATTCAGAAAGATTCCTGTGTTCTATCCCTGAATTTGCCTTTGTGCTGCACTTCTTATGCAAGGCTTGTATGGAGCAACGATGACGTACCTCTGTAAATTATTATATGCTAAGATAAAGGTTGTAAGGTATGGAGGCAGATTTAGACACGTAAAACTCTTCTGTCTCGTAGGTTTCTCACTATTTTGTCAAACATATTGATCATCTATTCGTATTCATTATTTCATTAGATGGATTCAAGTGAAATATACAAATTGTAATTATGCCTTCTGATATTCCAGGTTCAGGTTATCAAAGTATGTGCTTCATTCAGGACGGATTGTGTGCATATTCAAACAGGAGGAGCTGATGGAGGGAATTTGTGAAGCTGTAAGCACATGTCCATGTATTTCTACTGTCATCGGTAATCGTAAACAAAGATTTTCTTATTGAATTTAGATGTTACCATGATGAATCGGGTAGACTAAAATCCGATGATGTTTGTGGTGATCAAGCTAGTCTTCAAATTCCATCACAAAATATGGAGTGAAGTGCCAACAAGTTTCTTTTTTGGAGAGAGTACTTTTTTCTGGATGTTTCCGTGACCATCGAAATACATATCTACAACTTAAATTAGAAAAGGCCTTTGGGTTGATCTGGCTGCTTATTGTTAGTCTCAAAGGCGATGATCTTTGGTTCCAATCATAACTCAGAGCTGCTGTTCAAGTCCCCAACTTTGGTCTTTCCTGCAGCTAGCTACTAAACAGCCTAATGGTGAATTGCTGGTGGAGATATACAGTCAATCATAAAAAATAAAATGCATATAGTGTCAGAATGTGTAAGCAAAGAAAAAGAAAAGGGCAAAGGTTAAAGATGTAAACAAGTACGTAAATTCCACTGGTTCACAATAATTCTGATCGTGGTTAAAGAACATATATATATATATATATATGTATGTATGTATTTCTGATTACCTTTGTAGAACATTTTTTGATTGATTTGTATCTGAATGATCAACTTGTTGAATACGTCTACAATTTTGTTTCTTTCTTGCCAGTATTGAATAATTTTTAATGAGAACTGTCCTTTCCACGTGCTTATACCATAAGGCAGATTGGCTTCAAATCCACCACTTCGAAGCTTTGAAACTCACACCTCATGCTGAGTTGGAAATAAATGGTGCCTGGGAACCTTTTTGTGATTTTACTTCCTAGAACGTGGTCTTAGACCATTGATCATAGGAGGCAGTGACTGTTTTTTGACGAGGGCAAAAGGAGAAGGTCAATAATATGGCTCATACGAGTCAAAACCAGGAGGGGGGTCCCGGTCTGGGATTCTACACGAACGTACTTGGAGATTAACTCTATCAGGAAGAATTGTAAAGAATTATTCATCTTTTCCCAAAAAGATAGTAGAATTACAAAGAACTGTAAATGATGTCAACTCAATCTCTTCACTTATTTTATCACAGTTACTTGAAGGAGAGAAAAAATTGGCTACAAAGATCAGAGAAAAGTAATTTTTGTAATTTAGTGGAGGTAAGGAAAAAACAAGTAGAGCTGTGATGATATGCCAAAAGAACAAAACATTAGTTAGAACTCGTTTATAACGACGCTGGTATAAACTATGCTGTATTGCTGTGTTTGAAATCTCCGGTACTTTTCAATATTGCCGCATGTCACTAAACAGTAGTGACTTCGTCCTGTGCTGTTGGCTCTCTGTTAGCATGCCAGGAGTAAGAAAGAGGTTTCTTTATCATCTTAGATGCGGCAGCACATCAAGCAAACTAGGAGGAGGACCACTCTAGAGATTCTGGACTCTATCCCCACGCAGCCACTCTATAGTCTATACATTTACTTGCATTTCAAGCTCAACCACGTGAAGCGGACCTTTAAATGTTCAAGGGTGGAGTTCTATGTAGTTTGTCAGCTATGAAATTCGCAGGATGGCTTTTTTTCTTTTCTTTTTTAGCGTAATTGTATCCTCTAGTATATAACATTAAATTCCTTTTTTATCGATCCGAATTGATGCTTTCATAAAAAAATAAAAGCCTTTTCTCACTGCTTGGCATAGAATTTGATTGCTTAAATCCTAAATGCTATGGAGAAGTAAACCCCACATGGCATACGGGCTAAGCATCTAGGCCTAGAAGGGTTAGGCACTACAGAATTTCAACTGTACATGGTGGTTGTGCTTGAAAGGGATGTAAACTAAACAATGATTCTCATGTGTCCGTGTATCGGCATAGCTTGCATATTGAAGGAGGGATTTTCCACATCTGAAAAATTACCATACTTTTGTCACATTGCAATTCTCGGTAGCATATTCGGTCTGTGAATAAAAAGAAGATACTAGTTAACTAATTATATTGCAATTTTTTACTTTGCTGGATTCAATTAATTTGTTAATGGGTGCCTAGTTCAGTATTCTATTGCAAAGAAGAAGAGTTTTTGCACAAATATAACCCAAGGAATGAAGTAAGTAATTCTTTAGCTGGAATGTGTGAAGAGTTTGTCATTCGGTTGCTGAAACTAACTGGTAAGCTGTAACTAGCAAATAAGGGGCTGGCAAAATATTACAGAACTTCAAAAAAACTTGGATTGTTCACATCATACCAGTCTGCTAGACCTGTATTAATTAGCTACTGGTAAGTGTCCAAAATGGATAAGCAGCCATCGTATTGCTACCACGTAATAAGAAAATCTGATCATCAACTTTAAATTCATTTTGGTCCTCCTTTCACTCATCTTTTTTTCTCTCGCTCACGAGCTTGCCTTAGCTTTTATATCTCTTCCGAGCCCAATTAACTATAAATAGATAAAGAAAAGCTTTAAATTTGTGAGTCACAGATAAAGCTTTAGCTGTTCGTTGAGCTTTTTGGTGAGCTGCAGTGACCATATAACCATTTATGTTCACTGCCATTAACGTATTGAGATAATCAAAGATGAAAAAAAAAAATGGATTTCTGAAAATTGTAATTCTCTAGTAACACTTTGCGTTTGAAAATCGTGTAACATGCATTTTAATAATATTTTAACATCATAATTGCCGTCAAACCTCAATTAGTTTGAAAAAAAAAATGGATTAGTAGAAAATGTTAAAGCCGGTGGTGATTTCTTTAAACATTTGCCAAGTGAGAGAGTTACCCTCGTCACTGTTAGAGATTAGTATAAATTATATTCTAGGACCTCACCTATCGACTTAAGCTTTTAGGTGAGATGGTCCTTTAATATGGTATCGAGCTTGGTTGACCTTGAGGTCCCGAGTTCAAGTCTCACCATTCCCAATTTCTCAAATATTAAGCACAAGGCAATGTGGACTCGTGCAAGTTTCATGCCTCAAATGTTGGGCCTTTCACTTGAGGGGATGTGTTAAAGACTAGTATAAATTATATTCTAGGGTTTCACCTATCGACTTAAGCTTTTAGGTGAGATGGTCCTTTAATATCGTCAAGTAGTTTGATCCCATATTTTAAATGCAATGGTTTATTTTGATATGTTGAAAATGTTATACTACATTTTGTTTTAAAGTCAAACCCTTCTTTTCTTAAAATAAGTTTCTTACGTTTTAAATAATGTTTGTATTTTACGTTGGAAAACTTGAAATAATTTTGAAAAAAAGAACGAATTACATAATACTTAATTACGTATAAAAAATACTTCACACTTGTCCTTAAAGTGATTATTTCTCTCACTACAATGCTGAAGGGATTTAAGCAATTCATCTCTAGGATACAATTTACGTACACAAGAAATTACGGGTAGCACTCCCGAAATTCTTTTAAAACGATATCTCTTGAGATTATAGAGTTTTAGAAGGAAAATAATTTTGAGAAAAGAGGAGGGTTGTAAAGAAAATTAATTAATTATTGAGACTCTTTCATAACATATGTAACTATTGAAATTAAGTGATTAATAGTTAAATTTTAATAGTTATAATCTAACGATCATAACAGTTGGATTCTAAGAGTCATAACTATTGGATTCTAACAAGTCATTAAGCCAATTGTTATGTTTGTTTAAAAAGCTGTTAATTACTAACTAATTGCAATAGAAAATTAAAAACATAATTAATTAAAAGAATTACGAATTTAATTACATTAAGAAATAACTAATTACTCGCAACAAAAAATTTTAAAACATAATTAATTAAAATAATTATGAATTTAATTGCATTAAGAAATTTATTGTAATAGTCATAATCCAACAATCAAAATTATTAGATTGTAACAATCATAAGGCCAATCGTTATGTTTGTAATTATTAATAACTAATTAACCGCAATAGAAAATTAAAAATATAATTAATGAAATAATTATATTAAGAAATAACTAACTAATTATAACAAAAAATTAAAAACATAATTAATTAAAATAATTACAAATTTAATTATATTAAGAAATAAAAATAAATTTCTTAATCACAAACGTGCACGTGCTAAGTGCTAGTCTTTCATTATTTAAATATATATATTTATATATATAATTTCAATCAATTAACTTAGTTTTTCCTCTAATTCCTTCAACTAAATATTTGAAATTTTTACAAGAAATCCATTGTATAAGGTGTTTCTTCTTTCTATTCCTTTTCAATGTGGCATAAAAATCTCATTTGAAAACACTTTTAAATTTTCTTCATAGCACACTTAACTTATTATCTAATATAATTAAGATTTCTAACATTTTTGTTAAAATTTTGATGTAGCGAAAGCTCATAAGAAAGAAATAAATATCGTTGATTTGAAATCCGAATATCGATTTACTATAACCTATTGAATTGTGCACAAATATCGGGAAATAGGCTCCAATTTCATTGATTCAAATAATACTAAAAATTCGGATAA